CCCCCCTCTCTCTCTCTCTTTTTATACACCTACAAACACACACACGCATTCATGCCATATTCTGCCCAAGAGAAATGGATAAAAGCAGTCCATCTCCACTTTTGGCTTTATTTGGGAAAAGAGAAGCACGTGCACACAATAACGGCCAGTTAGTATAAGGGAAAAGCAAGACAGACTGAAACAAAAGAGATAAAGAAAAGAAGGACCAACCAGTGGCCATCTCCTACGACCAGCTTCCATTTCTGGTCAAAGTTGACTTACATCACTCCATTGAATAAATCCCTCTAAATATCTGTTGGTCAAATAAAGGTCCAACTATTATCCTGTACACCAGAAATTTATTTCTTTTTCAAGACGAGTCATGAAGTCAAAAACCACTCTCAGTCTCATGAATTAACAGAAACACAATGGTCAGACTGTGCAATGCGGCCAAAGTAGAAACATTATGAAATCGCCTCGGTATCATGCAGAAGTGCGGCTTACAAGCAGTGAATTTGACCTCTACTATTTTGCATGGCACGAACCATTATTTATTAGAGGTAGGTCTTGAGTGGTTGTTAACCTTTTACGCTCTTATTTACACAATTAAGATAACTGTATGGTGTATTTTATACCCCGCATTGTGTTTCCAAAACAAACATTTAGGTACAAGACTACACACGTACTGTAATATTTCATTTGTTTTTTTTTTAGATGAACAGGACACCTCTGCATTATGCAAATGGAGTATCTGCTGACTTAACAGATTTGCTGGTATCAAAAGGTGCAAGCATTAAGTCTAGGGACGCGGTAAGTCTTCACAGTCTAGAAAGTTTGGACACTTACGACAGCACACTCATGTCTAATCATGTCCTTATTAAGAAGGCATATCCCATAATTTGCAAAAAAAAAGGTTGCGCGAGAATAGTGTGCCATATCATGCTCTTTCAAGAGGTAAAACACATTTTAAAAATGAATGTAATAGTGTCCATGAATATTGTCATGTTAATGACTTGATATATTTTGTCATGCTAGAGATTCAGAATCAATATCAAATAGCTCATAATGTTTTATATGTCTAAACAGTTTAAATCACTAAGAGTATGAGGTGCACTTCTTAGACTCGGTCTGGGTGGGCTAAACCGGACTGAGAATGACACTGTACTCCAGCAGGAAAAAAAGGAGAAACTAGATAAGACAAGACTGCGTGGACACATCATGCAGAATTCTAAAACTGTCTTGTGTGTGCAATGAAAAAGAACTTAACTATTACACCACAGACGCCGGTGACTGTACATCGGATCATTAAAAGAGAGGAAATGTAGTTCAGATGGATTCTTATATCGCTTCTTACAAGTAGAGCAGAGTTATGTCTATCCGCATAAAGTGCATAGAGCTTGTTGTTGAGGGGGAATTTGCGCTATACAGATACTATCTATTTATAATAAAAATAATAATAATAAACATTATTATCATTGTTATTATTATTATTGTTGTTGTTATTAATTATTATTATTATTATAATTATTTATTATTATTATTGTTGTTGTTGTTATTATTATTATTATTATTATTATTATATTATTATTATTATTATTACCATTATTATTATCATTACTATTATCAAATAGGGACACTAAGAAGAGAAAACCGGTCATTGCAAATGTGTCCATATTCTTTCAGATGAAACGGACCGTCCAGTACTACAAAGAGCACAGCTCAGAAATCGCCGCCATCCGTGAAAGCCTCGGCATCAAAGCTCCGGCTGTGGCGGCAGAGCCCGTGGAAGAGCAGCAGGCATCACTAGATGACCCCAACGTGAGTACCGGAGACGCCGACACGACAATAGCGGCTGACCAGACGCTCAGCGGCAGTGAGCCCAACACCAGCGTGACGGCCGACACCAGCGCGGCAGAAAACGCCGACACTGCACCCGAGGCAGAGCCGGCCCAAGTGGCCACCGTGGTCACTGGGGACTCTTCCGAGCAACAATAAGCTCAGTAACAACCACTGACAGTACTGCGACTGGGGTCACTACAATGTACGTGGGCAATCAGGTAGTAACTGGGGTTAATAGAAGTCCCAGGTTGGAAGCAAGAAATTTCAGAGAAAGCATTACCCGGTAACAATCTCACTTTCAAATACGCCTCATTTTGACTCAGCATGAGAGACTTCAAAGGACATTTCCAAGCCATCATAGTCATGAGGTGACAACTACCTATACTAAAAACACGTTCTAACATCTTTGCTCTTTTTTTTCGATAGCATTTCTCTCCAACCCAAAGAAGATCCTTACTGAACCATATGATGTCGCCTCTATCTGTACACATAAGGAACTGCTACATCGTTTGTTGATTTATCTACGCATTAGTGATTTCATCTCTTTTATGTTTGTGTTTGTAAGCTTTGACTGTGATCCTTAGCACCATGACAAAACCTCATACTTTATTTAATTTTGTAACAACTTTTGTAACAAAACTTAATAAAACCATTAAAACATACATTTTAGTCTCCCAGTGTATGATTTGCATATGTATTGGTGATGTAAAAAAAAACCCAACAACAACCGTTTCTGTACCAAAATTAAAATCAAATGTAGTATACCTTCCACAAGCCATATTGATATGTAATGGATGTCATCTTCTATCATCAATACCCGTAAGATCACATAATAGGCAAGATCTCTGGCTGCGGAGCTTCAAAATTCTACTTCCATCTACGACTACGATAGGATCAAGTCAAGTGCCTGCCGGTTGGGGGAGGGGCATGGAAAATTCCCAAACAGCCATGTGCAAGAATGGAGCACTGGGGATTAACACCTGGGCCATCCACACTATAATTCAGTATAATACCAACTGAGCTATTGGCATTCCTGCACTACAAGACAAAGTGGTCAGGTCATTGCTAAAGTGGAGGTGGGCTTGGCTCAGTTGTTAAACAAATAAGTAGGAAAATGGAAGGAAAGAAAAAAGATACAAATACAAGTAAATATCCCAGGTACGTTTCTGAGTACAGACCACTATCTTTAAATTTAATGGGTTTAATGCTTTTTTCAACACTATTCATCGCCCAATATGCTGCATAGATATGGTAATATTGAAGAGGCCAAATCTCAAAATTCATCATCCATCTCCAAAAAGTCTGAGCCAAGTAGGTGGAGGGTTTTAAAACCTCCACAAAAACAACCACAGTTCAAGAATCAGGTTGATCAACAAAGTAAAATAGCCCTGTATGAAACACCACCTCAGCAAATGCTGCAACATAAACGTTTTACATTTGCACAGAGAACAATATTAGGACAGTGCAGACCAACATTTCGGTATCCTTCATTGTTCTCAACCAAGCTGTCTTTTACCAGCTTTTAGCCCACGGTCATACATGTGCACCCTCACTTCTTTTTATAACCATTTTTACACACTTCTGAAGCCATCATTAGACCAACAGTCTAAATATGCTTATTTTTATCTTCTTGGAATGACAGACACGATGGAACACAAAACAAACACAAAATGGATAATGAAAAAGACACAACAACTAAACATGAATCATTTACTTACCAGTCATTTTTCCTGCAAGGTAGCCAAAACTGTTTGGAGCTGACTTTGGTCGACCTTTGGCCTGATGCAGCCACTGCTTGAACCTCTCCTCTGCCATCACCTTTCTTCTCTCTTCGTGTTGCTGTATCTTCAAATTTTCCTCCTTTATTCTCCGTCTCCTCACTCTCTCTTCCTTCTTCTTCATTTCCGTCCACAAAGCAAACTTCTCTGCTGCTTTTTGTTGAATTTGTTGGTCCAATTCTTCTTTTTTCCTCTTATCATTTTGAACTTTCATTTTCTCCATCTTTTGTCTTTCAGTCCACTCCTGATCTTTCTTCTCTGTCCACTGCTGTCTGACCACCTCTGCTTTTGTCAACTTTACTTGTTTCTCATGTTCTTCCTTTTCTTTCAAGGCTTTAGCCTCCTTTTTCTTCTGTCTTTCTTCTTGCTTTTTTCTTTGATCATCTTTCGCCTTTCGGACTACCCACTGTTCCCAGGCAGACATATTGCTATCAGCTGATTTAGACTTTGCCGGTGATATTTCTCTGTGGACACAAACACAAAGAACACATACTTTATAAATCATAACAGACTGTTTGATCCTTTGCTTTACAAAGAAGAGAAAGTAATATAAGAAATGATGACTAAACAGTGCATAAGACTCAAACTCTTTGCTTCTCAGAACACTTTTACCCATTCTGATAATGAAGTCTTCTTGATCTTCAACATTGCCTAATCTTAAGATATATTGGTATTTAATATACAAGCAGTCTGAAACAAAAAGAAACACACTAAACTAACAGACTTTCACCCATTCGGATAACAAGGCTGTTTTTAAGGTAAAGCGCTTAAAAATCTTTTTGGAACATAGCTGTTTTTACAACCCCAGAGACACAATTTAGATCAAGTAGGAGGTAGGCTTCCAACCCTGCATGTCAAGTGATGGGGCCACCATAGACTGAGAGGGATACAATATCCCAGCAGAAAGACCAGGATACTTGAAAAAAATTTATCCCCATTTGGGAATTAAACTTGGGTTTCCTACGTGCGACAGCGAAGCGCTTAACTGCTACATCACAGACATCAGAAGTAAATTGTTATTTCAAAAAGAAATTATATGGATAAAAAAACCCACATTAAAGCACAGCGATGGCCACACAAGCCTGGGGTCAAAACAAAACTAAACCCAGAAACGTATCTAACAATTGGACTATCAGAACTTCAACCCATGCAATGATTTGTGACAAATTTCGATTTCAGCTTTGGAAAGCTTTGTATTCATGACAAAAGTGATATAATAAACAGAAGTGAAGAAGTTTTTAGTTTTAATAGAGGTTTTACGGCGCTCGCAACTTCATAAGGTAATATGAGCGCCAGAAGATTAGAGGTGTTACAGGAGAGTAACAAACATAAAAAAGAAGAAGGAGAGATAAGGACATCCACACCAGAGCACCCGCCAACCATTCACAGATGTGAAGAAGAAATCTGTACTGGTACAGAAAAAAAAGAAGCACCCTCCAATAACTCTAAAATCAAAGTGGCATAACTTAGCATATTTACAGTAAAAACCCTGCTTGGGAATGTTACCCTGTACCAATGGTTAGTACAAATGAAAAATTCTGTCACTGTGATCAGTAAAAATGGACAATGCTATCGTCTTAGGATACAAAAAAATATTAAAAAGCGGTGTATGAAGGCAAAAAACTATCCTTTAAAAAAATACAGAGCTCCGAACATGACTACATTCACAATGTCAAAAACAGTTTCTGACAACATCCCTCAAAGATTAGCAACAATCACTTGAAAATTGCTGACAGACTTTTCTTACTACAACATTAAATAGAACACCAGTGTGAAAAGTCAGAGATATGCCCCTACCTGGAGTTTTCAATCTTGTTGTCAGATTTGTTCTTTCTTCCTCTGTTTTCATTTCTTGTAGGCCTTGTCTTTTTATTGGAGTCAGGCGTACCACGGTTGTCCGACTGACCCTTTTGATTGTCGTGGGTGCCATTTTCCGTATCATTTTCACTTACATAACTGTCATGGTCCAAGAATGATGTAAGTGAATCAGTCGAAGCATGCGATTCCAAAGAACGGCTTCGAATTTTAGCTATAGCATCAGGGTCAGGAATTTGCATCCACCTAAATGGAGAAAACACTACCAATTTGATTTAAAGAAAAAGAATTTATAAAAGCATAATTTCAAATAATTAAGCATTCCCATCTCTCTTCCTTTTCTCTCTTTCAATGTGTATATCAAGCAAGAACTTAATAATGTAGCTGAATTCATCAAAACTACAAAAAAAAGAGTTTTTTTCATTGCACAAAGGAAAAACTACCTCACACAGGCAGTTAAATGAGTAAAAAATGAGACTAAAAGCACACCAAATACCCCCCCCCCCCGAAAAAACAAACAAGCAAACAAATAACCCCCTCCCCCCCAAAAAAATAACAACAAACAAACAACAATCCAAACCCAACTGAAGTCAATGCATCATTACATTTTATAAATGCAAAGCAAATTAACATATAACTAGATTTTGACTTTTTATTTTAAAAAACACACGATAAAAGAAATATTATATCTCCACATATAATGTATGTAGTGATTCAGGTAAAGTTAACTATTAATTATAACTTTAAAATGTGTGGGCACACACTCCATTTATTCAACATATAGTGTAATACTAGTAACCGATAACATATCATCCGATATTTGGCTCGCGTAGAACCAGATTTGATGCCATATTTAAATTTAAGCAAACTTCGTTTTTGATTGTCAATTTTGAATCTGAAATCATGTATAAAGGTCACCAGCTGCGTTGTGTGCATCTGACGTCACAGCTGCTAGGCCAAGGCCAAGGCCTACACACAGCACACTTCCTGTGGCCCGGTTAGAAAATAGTGCTGGGACGATACCACTATATAGGAATCGATGCGATGTGATACTTTTTCAAAGAATCGATTCGATACCGATTCCGACATCAAGTAGGCCTAATTGAACTTGATCTATAAAAATATTTTGCTTTACCAATACACACACCAGGCACCTAAAATCAACACATTAACCTGAGAATGCAAATGTTTATATGCCTAATCAACACTTAACCTGTGAAGAATTATCCCTCTCAAAATGTCCCACACAATACGAGTCTTTCTTGATGTCATGTTGATTTATAGGTGAAGAGCGCGTTTCTTTTTTTAACCCGATGTTTCGATTGGACTTGAAAACAACAAAAGTATCATCCCTTGGATCAGTGCATTGTCTGGGAATAATTAGTCCTCATGTATCGATCCTTTTCGAACGTATCGATTCGATTCCGATACCAAGTATCCATGCATCGAATCGATTCCCGCCCAGCTCTATTAAAAAACCGTTGGTGTCGGCCTATACGTTCTTACTGGGTACCGGTACCTGCCCATCCCTATTAAAAACACGCCAAATATTTAATCGAAACAGAAAATCACATATACCTCACACAAAAAACCCCCTGGATTAAACAAATAAGCAGTGAATGAAGAGATGTAAGTCGAGCATTTTAAGCAAATTTAATACCAAATGCAAGGCATACCTTGGCTTTGTTACTGTAGCAGTAACCGGGCGTGGCCTTCCCGTCATTGAAGTCTGCATTTTCTAAAAAGAGAAGAAAATAAATTGTATTTTTAGAACTAGAAATAAGAGGAAAAAAATGCATCTTGGCCCATATATTTTATGAACTAAATGACATCACGATCATAGACTCTAAGCATAATTACAGCTGTATTGACATTCAACAATTTGCAACTCAATACTTCTAATCAATTTGAAACATTCATTACTAAAACTATTGAGAAAAGGAAACAATGCTCCTTCAAACTGCCTTCTCTTCTTGCATTCTTCATTCCCAGAAAAAAAAGAGAAAAAAAGGCACAATGAGTCATAAACTTTTGCAGAGCCTCGCATACAAATACAATCATAGCATGAATGATTATCATGTAACTTCAGTGCAATGAACTTTGTGAAACACAAAAATTCTTGTACTTTGTTACAAACAACTGAAGAGTACTTTTTTAAAAACTTTGTTCAGTCCACTTTCACAAGTTTGGAGATTACTAGTTACTTTTTCCTCCTTAGGTACCCTTAGGATGTCGAGGGGAGGTGCAGGTTTCGGTCCTGTATTAAGTGTGCCGTCTGCGATACATTATGTTGTTCCAAGACTTTTTTAACCTCATCCAGCCAGGTCCTTCTTGGTCTTCCTCTTGATTTGAAGCTGGATTTCCGGGCGTTGTAAGCTCTTGTTGCCAGTTACTTCTGGGGCATTCTGGTTACATGTCCGAACCATTTGACTCTTTGATGCTCCATGAAATTTATTACTGGTGGTATTCCGGTTTGTAGGCTTATGGTCTCTTTCCTTATGCGGCCTCTTCTTGTGACATTGATGGTTTTGTGGAGACATCTCATTTCCTATACCGGTACATTGATTTTCCTTTCTTTTACTTTGTTCAGGGACCATGTTTGGTATTGGTATGTTTAATAAGCTGGTATGAAGATGCTATTGATAAGCTGGGATTTCACTTCGATTTGGACGTTCTTGTGACGGAGCAGGGGTGCTATCTGGAAGGTCACTGCATTTGTCTTCTTAGTTCTTGTTTTTATCTTTTTGTCCATATGCCCATCTTGTGTGAAATGTTGAGTTTCCCTGTTTTTGAAATGGAGACTTTAATGTTTAGGAGTTACCATTCCTCATTTAGTCGTGAGGTGTGTTTTTGTTATTCTTCTTCACTTGTATTTAATACACTCTGGTTATCAGCAAATTATAGAAGCTCGTTCAGTTCAGTGATGTTGTCATTTAATTTGCTGCTTTCATGATCTTATCCATGTAAGTGATGAAGAGAAAGGGAAAGAGAACACACCCCACCTCAGACCTGATAGTTCTTCTGTTTATCTTATGGCACACAGGCTGTCATGTTTGAGATATTGACCAATTTTTAGCATGGAGGCTAGTGTCAATTTAGTAGATATCTTGAATCAGCTGAGCTACACGGAAGGCCTTGAAGAGCTTTATATGTAGACGAAGCATTTTTCGCACATACCTTTTGTATGTTTTGTTGGGTTTTACAGCAATATCACAAAAACAGTTTCTGATGGTAATGGCTCTCAACAAAAGATGTTCACAGGGAAATTCTCATGGACTGAGCAGGTTTTGTGAACAAACGTGAAGGTAATTGAATAGGGTTTGAAAAATTATAACTTGACCCATTACAAATGCGATAATGGTGGACTCAATTCTAGTTAAAACATCAATTTTCGTCAAAAGTGGACAGAATTGAATTCTATTTTTTTCAAATGCTCAGTTTTCTGTATAATTAGTCAGTCCACTAAGCACTGTGAGAGCTACCTTAGCAGCCTAGACAGGCCTACCCATAGTTGGTTTATAACTTCTGTATGTTGGACCTTACTGTTGATGATTAATTGAAGGAGTGACATATAATGTATTCAAAAATTTGTGGCGCAACTTACTGTTAAAGATTACTTAACCATAAAACAAGACTTTCCAGCTTTCTTGCACGACTTGTCTTAAAACTGATCAATATTTATTGTAAAAACTTGTTAGCCAGCTGTATTCTAGAAAATTCCCTAATAAATATTAATAAAAATTCCAAGTGTGTGGTTTCTACCGATTTTACCAAGGTTTACAGCTGGGGCAATGCTTTTAACTCTTCGGTGCTTTAAACAGCAGAAGCTGAAAAGTAATAAAAATTCTGCAGAAGGTCTGGGGGCCTGAAGGGTTCTGGGACAATGTCCCGGAAGGGTTTCAGGGGGGTAAGCCCCCGAAGATATTGAAACTTTGTGCTAATAGAGGGTTGAAAATGGCATTTGGGAGCCTGTTTGAAGAGAATGAATAAGAGATTGCCAACAACCCATAACACCAATTTTTTACTAAAATTTTGTCTTGTTTGATTTCTCCACAAACAAATCTTTCCATTGCTGGCAATGTTCAAAAGTGCAGGTTCCTTTTGCCATTGCTAAGTCACAATAACTTATAATTCAATCAATTTGTCATCGCACCATTGGCAGAAACCTTGGAATAATTAGACATTACACCTTGACAATAGAGAGTATGAATAGACTTTCCCAGCACATGTATACCCAAATTCTCCTCCATTTCCACATTTGAATGCCAAATGTCGCAACCTAGGAACACCACTTTAAATCATTTTTCATTAAAAATAGTAATTTTGTTATAAATTTCTTTCACCGTGGCCCTTATCAAACTCCCGTAAAATCTTCCCACTGACAATTTCTCAAGACCTAAACAAAATTCCAAAACAGTTTCTTTTTCACAGAGTTTTCTTGTCTAAAATCACAAGCCAATTTACTTGATCGATGCACAGATTTTCCAAATGCGACAACAATCCAAAGATAGACAGAAAAAATGGGTGAATGAAAGAAAGGAGGAATTAAATTGGCCAAAAAAGTTTGTTATCATGGCTAGCCAGATTTTGAACGATTCGCAGGTAGGTAAAAAATGTCGGTAGCACTACGCCATCGCACTTATAAAAGGAGTTGATAATGACCGGGTATGGAACTGTCAGAAAGTATGGATTTGCGTAAAAATACTGAAGATTGGAAGCACTGACCCTTTCACTGTATATCCACTTTAAAGTTAAAGAGGTATACCCGACACCTGGTTTTATATCTATAATTGTCAGCTCTCATTCCATATATATCACCTAGAGACACTTGAGAGTGGGACTGATGTGAACAAAGATATATTGCACTTGATTTGGAGCCTACATAATTAAAATTTGATAAGTAGGCACCAGGTCAGAGTAGTCCTACAATGGATTCCTGCCCACACTGGGATACCGGGAAATGAAAGAGTTGATGCTCTGGAAAAGAAAGGAGCTAGCCTCCCTCAGCCTGAAATTCCTACTAATTACATTACACCCCACCTGCTCCCAAATGATCAAGTCAAACCTCAAGGAAGACTGGATGAATGATTGGGCCACAGGTACAACAGGAAGGATGATGTATGGCCACATAAATAAACCATTGGTCAAAGATCCAATCAATGAGTTGAGGGGGGGAGATCAATCCATAATCTTCCAACTTAGACACAACATGTACCCCTCAACCAACATCTCAACCAAACTGGAGTAAAGCAGTCAGCTGCCTGCCCACTATGTGACTACCCCTAGAGACAGTGGAACATCATCTGTTCTTCTGTAGAAAACTAACTGATTTAAGGGGATGTCTTCTTCCCAAGCTACCCCACACATCTAATTGCCTCTACTCCTCAAGACAACAATTAGAACAGACATGCAGCTATTTCTGAATGGCATCATGCAGAAGAGTTAACGCTCAGATGCTACTGGATCACTAACAACAACAACATCCATTATCACTATATTATTATTATATTGTGATATATAGTAATGCGAATTACATGTTCTGATGTCATGAATGCTGGATCAGGATGATCTCCCCCTTTTTTTTTACAACAATAAACACCCATCTGTTTCACTACGCTTTGTCTACCTACTTACTGAACAAATGTAATCCACGAAATCTAAACGATGTTCAACTCACAAACAGCCCACCAATCAACATTCACTACCGCGAACTGCGTTTTATGGCTCGTGTTACTCTGAACACTGGACCGTGAGCCATGGCTCGCCACTTCTTGCTTCAAAACCATGCCTAATTTTGCAACAATTGAAACTGAAATCTCAGGCTGAAGAATGATCATTTTTAGCAATATGTTGAGATAGGTCATTATTTCACCTTTATTTTCATATCGAAGTGGCTAGCCTGCCATTCTTGCCGAACTTAGTTTAGGCCCTCCTATTGACCAAAACCTGTTGTTGAGTATGTAACAGATCTCATTAGTAACTATTCAGGTTTAAAAACATGCACTGTCAAGTAAGGCATCTTTTGATTTCGTCTCAAATACAAATACTTTAGGTATTGCAAACTACAAATTTATCAACAATTCTAGAAGTCTAGATCTCATATTTGCTGTTTGTCAGTCTAACCTAGCCATCATTATAGTATTATTAATTGGCTAGCCCAGCATTCTTAATGAAAGTGGCTATTCTCACCCGTGGTGAGAATAGAAATACGATCGACCTCTCACCCCGGGTGGGACTTGCCACCGTAGGCTATTCTCATCCGGTGTGAAACAAGACCTGTTTTTCCTAATTTCGGAATACTTTCTATCGATGTGGATGATCAAATGGATAAAGGCAAAGAAAAGATTACGTTATAGCACAAAAGTAAGCTAATTTTATCGACTACAAAATGGCTATTTCACTTTTCGAATCGAGCCGAACTACGGGGGTCGCCATTTTGTTTTGCCCGGAAGTTCTCGCAAGATCTACTCCTCCCCTTTTCTCTCTCCGTCTCTTTCTGAATACTGTCTGTCGGTGTGGACGATCAAATTGATCAAAAGAAAGTTTAAAAATGATGGTAAAACACAAAAGTAAATCAATTTGGTCGTCTACAAAGATGCTACGGCTATTTAACTTTTCGAATCGAGCCGAACTACGTGGGTCGCCATTTTGTTTTGCCCGGAAGTTCTCGCGCTACTCCTCCTCTCTGTTTCTCTCTCCACTGCCCACAGACAAAATTGTACGCTTTTAGTAGGCTAACAGTAGTAATGAAACGTTTGTTCACAGCACAGAATTCTACAATTTTTCTGTTATCACACTGCAGAATTCTGTGGTTTAGGGTGAACGCAAAATCGGTTGGCCTAGATCTAGGCTATAACGGTGAACGCGCACCGGGTGAGAATAGCCAAAAGACTCGCCTGCACTATTCTCACCCGGGGTGAGAATAGAGGTGGCCTTCTTAACATGAATCTACTAATAAGTCAAGTTACTTTTTAGTTAGTTACTAGATCTAGCCGTCACTAGTACGGCTAGCCTCTTCCTTTTCACATATATCATGTGGCTACCATTGAAAATTTGAGCTCAGAATCTTTAATTTGTCCGACGATAGGCAGAATCAGCAAGAAGGTCACAGATGTGAGATAGGGCCAGGTAGTGAAAGAGTTAAATTTAGGCTATTTACTATGTCGATAATAGGGAAGACTGCTTGAAAATGGTGTTTTTACGTCAAGCACGTACAATAGGAAATACCTGTCTATACCAATACACCAGAGATGTGTCAAATTGCAACTGATTACCTTCTGCCTCAAATGACAAAGACATCAACCAAAGATCACATTAATATTCAATAATATAAAACGGTCATATAATAAAATTTCTCAGGAATGAAAGTAGTTTTAATGGTTGTCTATGAAGCATACGCCCCGCACTCAAGGTGCAACCATAGATTTTATGGATAGAAAATCTTGGAACAAGTAAAACATAAAAAATAAGAGTAACAATATTATAAAGAAGTTTGATGTATACAATTAAAGTAAATGTATTTGTTTTAGATAAATTATTCACGGTTTGATTGTTTCAAACTTTTACTGCGTTTCTTCTATGTTTGTAGGAGATGTAAGATGGCGACTTGACAACGCTGTGTACAGAGATGATGCTCTCTCTCCAAGTCTCTTGGTTAACGTAAATATGTAGCCTACATTCAAGATTTTGAAAATGGTCAGTGTTGATTAACAACAACCCGAAGGTGTCTCCAGTATCTTGTTGTTTCAATATTATGAGAATAAAATATGACTTAGATATACACTTCTGAGAGTAATAATCGAACCCGTCCGTTTTCCGTCACAAAAGACCAACAATAAACAACACTGTCATTGGGGTTCTTTGGAAATTTAATTGCCTTCCCGTTTGTTTACAAAAGAAACAGAAGTGCTTGCTAAGGACAAAAGTGGCCATATAGGCTAAGTGAACCCTACCACATTCGCCAGTAATATTTTTCTGACTTTTTTGTATTAATTTTCGGCTTGATTATTGAACTTTGTCTTTGTTGGACCCACTGACACGTCGTGTTTACATGTGTATTAATGCCCACTAGCCATAATTTAGCTTGCTAAAGGCTTGCGGAGCGTTTGATTCTGTAAGATTGAACTTTGATGGACCCAACACATACTGAATGAAGCCGGAACTACTTTTGAGCCTAGATCTAGATAAGATATTAGATCTAGCTGTGCAATAATGGTCCGCTCTTATTTGCATTTTTTATGTAAGTGTTTTTAAAAAGGAGTTCGTTTTTAAAATTATTATGTTGTTTCCCCCTGAAACCCCCCCACTGTTGTTATGGCTAGTGCATTAATACATGTAAACACTATTAGTCCACGAAAGTTCAATCCCACCTTGAATTAATTTGCTAGAAAAAGGCAATATTATATTTGACAGTTTTTTTAGATCTATAAGTGGTTTGCAGTGTCAGTGAGGGCTACTTATTATAATTACGCCTGCTTAAGTTAGACCTACTGCTTATAAATTATATAAGGACACCTATGATGATACTCCATGTCAATCGGCGATGAAGTTAATAAATGCGATTTCTGTTTTTAATCAGTCATAAAAAAATTTAAAAACTAATGTAAATTTTTATTCTATCCCACATGGATGCCGGCCTGCTTTGGGGGTCAATTGGTTTGCTTTGCTGCAGATCACCCGTATAGATATATCTACTAAAACTTCTTTTCAAGATAGTGTCAAACCTGACTGCAAAATATCAAATATGGGTTAAAAAAGGGGGCATACCTCCCTGTACCCCCCCCCCCCTCGCCCGATACTGTAGGAGGGCAGGCCCGCACGGTTAGTCTTAGTGTGAGTGATATAGCTAGAAAAAACCATCAAATATTTTTTAAAATATTAATTTTCGACGGAAATGAAGTTGAAATTCGTGTCAAGCGCATAAATATATAAGAAAATGGACATCTGGAGACAGGAGGGAAAGAAAAAGATTACCAAAAACTAAAGCAGCATGGATGTCACTACACAACCCTCTGCATTCCCATTAATGCTTATACATACTCTTGTTGACTCTGTTATTGTTCTTTAATATAATTCCTGTTCATTCTCCAGGGTACATGGACACACATCAATAGTGGTGATCGAAATTAAATGCTACAAGTATAGAGTGTTAGATCAATCTGATGGGTTGTATCAGATTCATATTCAGAGGCTGTATATCTTTGCATTGTCTTTTGACAACTACACTGCTATAGAAGATATCATTCAGCAAGCTGATCATTTTCAATATTATACATGCACATATGAATATGGAGGCTTAGGATGCCTACATGATATAAAATCAAGCAGCTGATCATAGCAGTCATCATTGTGTTTAATCCTATTGAAATGAGAGTTGTGTCGATGATAACTGGCAAATATCATTTTATGTATGCCCATGTTCTTTTAATACCCCTCACCAGGGCAGTGCGACTGACTGAAGTTGTCTTTAGGCCATTCCCAAAGGGGGGATATTAACATATTCTTATGCACAGTAGAATTATAAATGGGCTGATTTATAAATGCTATGCTCATACTTTACCGGAACAACATAAAGGGAACGCTGCTGCTTTTTCTTTCCTCATCCTTACTATCGCCATTTTCTTCTACTTCTTTTGTATGTCACTCTCTTGTGCACTGCTATTTCTGGGCTGCCTTGATAGTTGAAGCGGACTTTGTGCTGTTGAGACTCGAGAGGTGAGCAGAGTAAGCCTGATTCCCCATTTGGACTTCTCTGTTGACATCCACCCCTTGGCGCTCATATGACCTTATGCAATTGCGAGCACTGTAAAACCTCACTAAAGCTAAAACTAAAAACTTTTTCCTGTTGCAGGAGGCTTGACTGGCTGAATATTTAATCACCCTCTTTAAAACTCAAAAGAATCATGGCTTCGAAAGTAGAGTCAGGCCTTTCAGATGGCACAAAATTGCCAAGTGTCATGATAGGAAGGAGCTGCTTGGTCTCTCCACCATCATCTGTCAAGCCCACTCAAATGAGTCCGAAGGAAATAGCATCAAATTGGTGCTCAGAACTTAGGAACAGGTATGAGTGTGACAAATGAAAGTACATTTTTGTATGTGCAGCTTTAGCTATTATGTTAGAAAATATATAGAAGGCTAAAATTCCATATTCTTTGTCTCTATACCGTATTAGTCAGTTTACTTTAATTATTTGATGGATGGAGAATGATGAAGCCATTTTTTTCTCTAAATTTTTAATGTGAATAGTGAATGTGGCAAGGTGTGTATTTTGTAAGCTTCAATTACCCCTTTATATATTGCATTCAAAGTGTCATGGGCTGTGCTGGGATGATAAGTATGGTTCATTATAAATTATTTTGATATGAGAGTCGATTAGCTGAATTTCAATTTTACATGAAGTAAACAAAATGTTTTGTGTAGTTCTTTCTTATTTTTGTATGCTATTGAGAACTTATGTAGGATGATATCGTACTGATTTTATTTCTTCTTGAATTTGTAATTTTGTTTCCCTTTTGGCCAGGATTACTGAAAACATTGAGTGCCATGAGGATGTTAATGAGGATGATGTCATGCTGTTGAAACAAGAGCTTATCGGAGTCTTCATCACTGCACTGCAACAAGACTCGTAAGTGTCTAAAAATATATGTTTGTTTAACACAGTCACAACAGACTATGGTTAACTCATTTCACACATTTTGGGTTTCTCTTTATTATTTTCTAGTCAAGGGGGGTTTTGCGAGCAGATAAATTTTGAGCTGAATGGATGCACCACAAGGCGTTATAAGTGTTTTGATCCTGTGGGATTGATTTGATCGTCCTCTCCACATTGACCTTTTGGTGTGAAATCTGGCTCCTGCCTATGGAGGTGAAAATGATCAACACTGTTTGTATTCTGATGGACTCACTTCACTGGATAGAAGCGCTGGAGAAAAAAAGTCTCGGAACGCTATGTTGCGGATCTAAGGTAGAGTCATCTGTTCTGAAGTCCAGCATGATGCCAACTGGACACCCAAATTGAGCTGTCACAACTCCCCAGAGAGGAACACTCGATGACAGTACTGACACCCCTAATGATTAAATGCTCTTGCCATCTTAACTTGTCTATATATCAATTGTTAGAATGCTGTTTAATATGGGAACTGTTTTTACTTTTATGATAGGTTAATTTTTTGGTTTCGAACGGTAAAAGGAAAATCAAAGTAACATTTAGTTTTAATTTGGAATTACTTTCTGATATGTACAATTTGTCCTTCCAGGCGTCCACAGTGGCAAGTCTTTGTGGAGATATTGACTCTGCTGGAACCTTTCAAAAGCCTATTTGATTACTTTGAGACAAGGGCAGAGGTAATTCGATTGACAGATTTACTCACATTTTAAAGAGCTTAAATAAATATATATTTTATTTTATTTTTCTGGCTATGAGTGATGTACTACTTCTCATTATTTTTTTTAGAAATCCTTGTCAAATGGGAATATAATGTGTAGCAATGCCCACCGAGCGCGTTTTGTTCTGCCGATTTTTGGCCCCCGCAGCGGGGGTGTTTTGTGGGACGCACTAACGCAAAGGTTGTTGTCTTCAACTCGCTCTCACGCCGCTTCTTGTGAATGGATATGAAAGAAACTTGGCAGCCAGTCAGAAAAGAGGTCAATCTCGTAGTATGCAGTTTGACAACATTGTACCCATCCTAGAAGCAGTCGAAAACGTTTGCGAAAGTGGTTGATGTGGTGCGCTTTGAAGATTTTTCGGAGCTGTGATTTGTCAAACTGACTGATACGTTGTACACCATTTTTCTTTATTCCCTTAAAATTTCAAGCTTCTGTGTTTAGCGGTTTTCGCGTAATCTTTAAAAATGTGGGAGTAACTAAGGGAAAAAGCGGCATTGCCATTTGCGCGACGACCTGCTGCTGGGAAATTTCCACTGAGTGACGTCATCAGCCATCGGTCGCCTCGGGCGCTACAAACGAGGCCCTGCTTATGTGAACCGGAAAGGGGGGGAAGGATACTTGAAAACTAAACGGGGGCCTTGATAACTTGCGTTTTTGTTGCATTTTAGTCACAATACAATAGATCTCGTCATTTTTATTTGTTTGATCGCATGACAGAAGAATAGAAACAGAAAAGCAAACATCTTGAGAAGTGGTATGGCATTGTGTTTGCGTTATGAAAGCCTATTCCCCCCTCTTGGGAAAGCACACTCTTGGACTCGTCCTGTATGCTCTGTTTGGAAAAGTGAGGCTTTAAGATTGTTATTAAAGAGTATGGTACTTATTTAGTCCAGTCTGGGAAGATAGTCCCGTTTATACATTGTTATCGTTCACGCGTGCGCGGGTGAGTGCGCGCGTGTGCATGTGTGTGTGTGTGTGTGTGTGCGCGCGCGCGCGCGCGCGCGTGTGTGTGTGTGTGTGTGTGTGTGTGTGTGTGTGTGTGTGTGAGAGAGAGAGAGAGAGAGAGAGAGAGAGAGAGAGAGAGAGAGAAGGGGGGGTGTGTAAATATGCTACATTTATTGTATGAGTTGTAGCCTACACATGCGAAATATTCCCATGACTTGTAAACTATATTATCTGAACGCATCTTAATCTACCACACAATAGGACACTGTCCAACAATTGAATATACACAGAGACGATCTTATTTTCTGTAACGAAGTATGCATGCTTTTACTAGTATAGAACTGGATTTATTAGTCGCTCTCTACTTACATTTTTGTGACAAATTGATCCAGAGCATTGCTTGGCAAGGAGGAACCTCTTATGTTGCCAAGTTTCATTCAAATATCATGACTTTGGGAGAACATATGACTGATAATCTTTGTAAATCTGTAAAGAACGCCACTTTTTTTTACCTGTTAATGTCTTTACAACTCAAAAAGTATGACAGATTTTAAAAATCTGACTGCATGACTAGGTTCTGCATTAAAAAATGTACTAGACTGCCAGGTTTCATTTACATATTCCAAGAAATAGGCGAGCTATGACAAATATTGTCTCAAAACGCACCGGAAACCGCCACATTTTTACCTATAAACGTCTTCATAACTCAAAAAATAGGATAGCTATGAAAAATCTGAAAGCAGGATAGATTCTGCACTACAAAATGTACTGGGTTGCCAAGTTTCTTTTAAATACTCCGAGAAATGAGCGAGTTATGACGAATATTGTCTCAAAACTCACCAAAGGACGTCCCATATTTTGGGGTTTTTTCATTATATAAAAGTGTACCAGAAATTAATTGATTAAAAAATCTGTAACTTTTTTGTTTATTGATGGATTTCAAAAATTCAAAAAGTTCCATGCTTTCTGAAGATAAAGCTACAAAATGCACCTATTTGCAAACACTTTCTGGCAAAAAAAGGATTTTCGTGGTCATTGCTATAATGTGTGAGTTAGTGTCTTTCTATAAAAATTGTCCAAAAGTTAAAAAAACCCTGAAGTTTAAGTATAAATTAATGTAGAACTGTTTCTTGTTTTGAGTGACATTTAGAAAAATGACCCAGATACTATGATTCCAACATTGGCTCTTTAAGGTAGTTTTTCTCCTGTGATGGTTTAAACAAATCTTACATGTTTTTAAGAATAGTTTCAATTTTTGCAAATTCAGTTGCATCATTACCTGGAACGAGTCCTTCAACATGTTCACCTTCACAAGGAACGGCTCTTTGACCTGCAGATTGAGGCTGTACTAGAAAAGATATTTCCAGAGGTAACCATATTTGTCAGATTGAAGCTTTTTACATTGTAGATAAAGTTTGACTCTACTTTCCTATGAGATATCACTTTTTTTTATTGAATAATATATAAATTAGCTTAACAAAGTAACTCAGTTGTTATTTTGAAAGAATATGTTCTTTTGTGGTTGACCCCACCCCCTTTCCCATATTGCTTAAAAGTGAATAATTTTAAAAGCTGTTTTAATTGCTTGTGTTCAAGGGTTGACAAAATGTTCTCCACTGTAGTTACCAATGATCCTTCCGCAGGAAACTTCTTATTCTCTCAGACCGCGCTAACTACTTATTCTCAGGAAATATCTCTGCTGAAGGGTAAAGAGCCTGTGTGTGTGAGGAACTACTGCAGTGCTCCTCCTCCTGTTCTCTCTCTCAGCATCCCATCGCCAGCCAAACTCCCCTCAGCTCTGCAGCAACCTCTGCCTCACCAGTACCCTGGCAGGTTCCTGCCTGATGGAACCAATCCCTACTCGACATATATTCCAGTAAGGTTTTGCATTTTAACTATTCAGTGCTAGTCCCTGATGTATCATCAAAATGGTGTTATCTTCTCCGCAAGTAATGAATCAAAAGCAGGTCTATGGATCTATACAAAACTCTTTCTTTGGCTGTATTACCTGTTCTGGATTTAGTATTCCTGGCACCACGCATCTTTTAAATTTTTATTCTTTTGTCTTATCTTGACTTATAACATGTCTGCATTACCGAGAAAATATATATGAATTGTCTGTTTTGAAAGAATATGGTGTCCAAGGCAAGGATGGGGATGAAAGCTTTGCTTTTTTGATTGTGTGATCAAAATGTACATTTTTGAATATTTATGAGGATTCTTTTCACGTTTTGGATGGAGCATGGGTTTTTTTCATTTTGTTTTCAAAGATTTTTGGAGGTTTTTTTTGTCATTGTGTGAAAACATTTTAATTAATTTTTGGTGACTCACGACATTTATATATCTTGAAATACAGCTGAAATTGTCTAAGAAGCCACACATTGTTGAGGAGATAAGTGGTTGTCTTAGACAGGTGGATGTCTTGGACAGTGTTATTATAATATAGAGACAATGCATTGGGGAAGTGGGAAATGATTGTTTGTACTGTTGATTGTCTTCGACAGTTGGTCGTTGGGGCAGGTTCTTCAACTGTAGTTGCAGTAAATATTTTTATTTTAAAAGTATTTGTGTATTTTCTTTGTTTTGCTTACAGTCTTTCTGCAGGACAGATAACGTTTTTGTCAATTTTGCAATAGACACAATTTTCCAGGTGAAATAAGGTGGTATTTGGGCCACTTCTAAGTCATCCAGGGATTGTTGTGCAAAATCAGCTGTTCGTGCTGTTTTTTCTTAGTTAGCATTTAACTCACTGGAGACGGTTCACGCAGCATTTGCGAGCTCCAATATTTCCCCGAGAGGTGGCTCACGCACTCCCTGTGAGCACAAGTTTCGTGTTTTGTCCTTGGCAAAGTACGCGCGCAAACGCTGCGTGAACTGTCTCTTACCGTGCAGCCGACTTTTGTTTCGTTTCGTGCGAAGTTTCACCGGAATTGGCTAGAAACTTTTTGAGTTATCGACCCGGTAGGAAAGTTAGTCATAATATAGTCACACTGAGACCCTACTTTCGTTTCTCCGACATGTCTGTTCTCGCAACAGTTTGTCAGTACAATTGCAGCAAGTTTAGGTTTAGTAAGAGTTTTACGGCACTTGCAACACAATAAGATCATATAAGTGCTGAAGATTAAGTGTTACAAGAGAGTAACAAACACAAAAAATTGAAGAGAGATCAGGACGAGAGTTGTTTGATAAGAAAGAAGGAGCAAACTGCACAAGAGCACCCGCCATCCACCCACTTGGCAGCACGAAAAAGCAAACATTTTTTAAAGTGTTTGACGACTTTGACAGTTCAGAAAATTCTGATTATGATATTTTAGACCATGGGGATCCTGATTTCAATGTAAATGAGCATCAAAGCACTGATTCTGATAGAGAGTGTTCTAGTTCTAGACAAGGCTTTCAAATGCAAAAAATCCGCTTTGCCTGAAGCCCTGTTTTTTTCACACTGAAGTGGATTAGACAGCAAATACATAAGGATTACCATATTGATTACCTGCTTATTCATGAGTTTGGACTTTTTATTCATTTTGAAACACAAAACACAATAAAAGACACTCAGGGTTAATTTTTGAGGGGTTTTTTGTTTTTTTGTTTTTACCCAAGACATGTCAAAAAATTTTGGCGAGCAACACATTTTTGCTGATTTTCAAAAAATAATTTCTAAAAATAGTAAAAGATATTGCCTTTCTGTTTTTTGTGTCATATTGTGCTTGTTTAGATCTGTTATGTGTGTAAAAATGGTGGTTGTATGTCTTTGGAAAGGGTGTTGTTTGAAATGTTGAAATACCCCCAAAAATGCCAGTCTTCAGCAGATGTAGACCCACAAAAGGCCCAGTCTCCAGTGAGTTAGCTCTGTGGTAACCCTCAAACACATTATTTTTTTTGTTATGTGAAGTTAATTGTTTTGAGTTTGATAATTGTTGTCTTTATGTGTTTGTTTTTTATAGACTGATGAAGAAATTCTGGGAGCTAAAAAGCTTACTTTTGGAGACCTAAGCAAGTCAATGGGAGCTGTTGGTCTTGAAATGGCTGCAAGTAAGTGAATTTGTATTGACTGTTCTGTGTCATGTTTAAAAAGAGAATGATCATGTGAAAGAGGAACATTTTATTTGAAGACTTCTATTTTTCGATGGAGTTTACTAACCACAGTAACATGCTATATCTCCAATGTTGTTGATCTTTTGGCTGTTATGGAATAGAGGTTTTTTCATTATTGTTCTGTTTTTGAGAAAAACATGTTCACGACATGGAAGTCTTCTACACAAATTATTATTTTCCAGGAGAGGCCATCTGGAGCCACTCAGTTGGGACCACGGCGCTGGCCCTTGCCACAGACATTCCTGGAGAGGTATACTGTGTGATGACTTTCCTTCATCTAAAAGTTGCATTTGAAGAAATTGGACTAGGAGTCCTTGACATAATACTTCAGGATTTAAAAAAATGATGACAACACACACACACAGACACACACACACACAGACACACTCACACACACACACACACACACACACACACACACACACACACACACACACACACACACACACACACACACACACACACACACACACAGACAGGTAGCCCCCCCCCCCCCCCCCCCCCCCCCCACACACACAGGGCCTATACACGGATATATTTATGGACACACCTGGACATTTTTAAAGTCAGCTTGGCAGTCACCTTAGTGGTTTGTCATTGATCCAAATTTTTGTCTCCAAATCCCGATTTTTTTCCACCTGAGATCCTGGTTTTTAGAATTCATAGTGTGGCAGGTTTGAGTCATATAGCATCTTGTTCATGGTGGGCCCATCAGGTTTCAAAATTGCTTGATTGTGATAGGGTTCTGTCATGTTGTCTTCCTGGTGAAAAACTGCAATAATTGTGCTGATCTGCCTTAAAACACAACTCACCTACAAAGACTTTTATGATTTATTTTTTGACAGAAAATGAGCCCAAGAAAGGAGAAGATAGACAGAATGAGTGAAGTGAGCAAAAGTCTTCCCTCTGTGTTGTCTTCAAGGTCAGAGAAAACACCACGACCAGCACCAAAGGTAGGCAAATATTATGTTGTCTCTGCAAGATTCTCAGTGCCATTTGATTCAGCTGTTCATGTTTAAACTTCATTTGAGTTTTTTAGTGCTTTTTCTTCTTAATATTGATTTTTAATTGCAATTGTGTTGTTCAGAAATATAAGATATTTATGTGCATGATATTAACATTCACAGTTTCATAATGTTCTAATTGGAGGCAAAGTTCTTTAATTCCTTCGTAACTATTGTTTTGTTAATTTAATTTCTTTTTCATATCAGATGCAAGAAGAAGTTCCCGTGATGACTGGACGAGAGGCTGTGCAATTCTTTGCCGGGTGTCACCACACAGGGAAGATAAAGTCTCTGTACCTCAACATTGCCCCCAACAGGCACTACAGGCCTTATGATTTGATCTCTGTTCCCAAGAACAAGGTAGTTCTCTTGAACTGGGGGTGCTCCTGATGTTCTAGTTACCATACACTGTTTTGTGACCATAGACTCTCCTTGTATTGTATTGGTCTATGATTGTTTTGTTTTGTTTATTTTCCCTTGCCCATTTATATAAGATTGACGCCATCTGATTAGTAGAAAAAAGTGCATATAATAGTGTCCTTTAGTGTATAACGTGCATACTTAGTATAGCAAATAACTGTAGCAGCAGATAGAGATTCCAGGATTATAGATGTAAGTCATTGATCTGAGAACAGTGATGATTTTAGATATAATGGTGGTGATGAGTGATGATGAGAGATTGCGTTTAAGTAATGTTAGCGTTAGTCCTATCTTCCTCTGCTCCATTGAGTCACAAGGGACGTGGGTACCCTTTATCCTGTTCCGTACTGGAACCATCTTTACGGTCACCGTGAAGTTCCGAAATGGAATTGGTCTATGATAAAGTTCTGTGATAATTGTGCAAGTAGCTAATTATGCCACTGTGTTCATAAAAATGTTGATGGCACCCATTGGTAGGTATTCGTGACTACATATTTAGAGAAATGTGTATCTTTCTTGTTCTAAATTAATATTGCATGTTTTACAATAATAATAGTTGACTTCTCAGTTCTTATTTGAAAAGCCTTCAGATTATTCCCAGGCCTGATGTTATTTTGAGTAACAGTTAGGTTCATCTCTGTTGTATTCACAAGACATAAGTTCAATTCCAGAAAGAGAAAGTTATTTTGTATTTCTGTCTGTCGAGAGAAATGCTGTATTCTAATTGTCCTGACTGGCACAGTTTCAGCAACCGGCCACCAAGATTATCTATACTGTTTGAAACAAAGGTGTAAAACATTTGCAATTGCTGCCTTGGTTAGAATTAATCTCACTTCAGTAGTTGATTCTTCACTTCTTTTAATTTAAAAAAAAATAATTTTTATTTGGTCCCGTGTCCTGATTTTGGTGCTGATATTTATAGGTTACGTAAAAATGTGTTGACATGGTGGAAATTGTTATGTTTCAAGAAAAGCAAAACAAGAAAAAGGGGAATTGTTTCGTGGGTGATGATGATGAAAATGATGATGATGATGATGGTGATTACGATGATTCACTTCTTATTTGCAATGTATCTGGATTTGTCCCAGGTGAATCGGGAGCACTACGTCTTCTCCACATTTGGAGTTCTCCACGTGTACCCTGACCAGCCTGCGGAGAACATGACACTGGCCGAGTGGCAGCGAGAAGCCGTGCTGTGGAAGGCAGCATCCAGCATACCGTTCTTTAAGAACTATCTGGTGTCTAAAAGTTTCTACAGGTATATGTTTTGTACAAATAGGGTGGTCAGTGGGAGAAATTTGGATATGTCTTGGGGAAATAGTTTTGTGTTTTTTGGAGAAGTAGTGTTGTGTTTTAGAGAAGTAATGTGAGACCAATTCCTGCTTGGAGATGTTATAATATTGAATATCTTTTTCTGTTTGGTACATGGCGTCACTTTTCGCCTCCTTCTGTTACCTTTAGTTAGCATGACTCAGCAGCCCGTCGGAGCTCCCCGGCTCAGGGTCACGGGGTTAATGAGCCCTGAAGCGACTTTGCCAGTGTCGGTTAGGAAGTTCGCATTTTTTAATACATTTAAAACGGTATAACTTCTTCCCCATCCCACACAGCAAACCATTACGCGGATGTACTAAAAGCTCTATGTCTTGAGATTTATTTTGCGTTAGAATGGTTAATTTCAGTGCCTTAGTTTTTGTTCTAGACAAGTGTTTGTAGAGTACCCAATTTGTCCTATTTAAGTTACAAACTTATGAATAAATTATTGTTAATTTTTAAAAGGCACAACAGATCTAATTTTATTATTGAACAAAAGAAAGTTACTCTGTGGTTGTTCATGAATCATGCTGTGTCTGTAGCAGCCTGCATACAACTAAAAAGATATAATATAAGCGATTAAAAAAACCCTACAAAACCGTGTAAATACATAAGTAGAGATAAACTTTTTGTATGGAATAAAAATAATGACAGCTAACACATTCATTCTTAGTTTTTGTGTCGGAAATATGCGCGGACACATTGTCAGTTATTGCAAATGGTCATAGAAACGAAAGATAAAGCTGGAAAAGTCTGGTGCTGATTCAGTGTCCCTGGAAAGCTAGAAATTATTCGTCTAACCCAACTACGAGAAGTCATCCCTATTATTCACTCAACTTACAAAACCTAGACTTAGCGTTTTAAGAAAAGTAAGGAATTTCTGGAGTGTAACAGATTCTGTTCATGTATTACATTGAAGATGTATTCTGGCTCTAAAATCGATTTGTACTTTTCATTGAGAAACTTCATGGTACCTTTTATAAACTTTCGAGAAAACATGCGAATATTACCGATTATATAAGACACAAAAAGTTGTTTTTGGAGAAATTACTTCATAACGAATTGTGTGCCCGATGGATAAAGTTGCAAAATTACAGCTTTCTATTATATGTGCAGATACCATCTTTTCTGAGTATCTGCACCAATGCTATGTCCTTCATGTTCCAAAAGTTCGACTGATTTTGTCAAGGCCTTTTTTTTACATTGATTTTTTTTCATTCATGCTAGTAAAAAAAAAATTACAAATTAGCATTGCCGACTCCAGCGCATGAGTCTCAAGAGAAGAAATGCATTCTTTAGGTACACTAAATGAAAATTACCATAAATACAAGGATACACCTAAAATTGTACGTTGAAAAGTACCAAAAATTAAGTCGGCTCAGACAGAGCGGCAACGGAAAGCTGACCCCCGTGACCCCGACGAGATAAGGCGCCCGAAGGGGAACCCCCCGCTGCAACTAAAATTCCACTGATGGTGCGCCGTGGGTGGGATTGTTTATCCCACTCAACCCAGGTTGGTCCTGACAAGCAGAGTCTTAAAGACCTCACCTTCTAAATGATCTAACTTGTGTTGTTGTGGTTGTAAAGCATTTAAAAGAACGCAAGAGAAACCATCCTTTTACTAATAATATCAATGGCCATGAACTGAGCTTTTTTGCTGACTGTTGATCTGGTTTTTGTCAGATGGAGTGCCAACCGCCAGTACACAGAGTTCCAAAGACGACAGAGGAGTATCTCCCGGAACCTTCTGAGCTCTCTGCCCCCGTTTGGTGCTGCACTCCTTCAAATTTCTGGGTAGGTTAACTCTCTGCCTCTTTCTCTCTCTCTCTCTCTCCCTCTCCCTCTCTCTCTCTTTCTCTTTCTCTCTCTCTCTCTCTCTCTCTCTCTCTCTCTCTCTCTCTCTCTCTCTCTGCCTCTTTCCCTCCCTCCCTCTCTGTGCCTTTCAAATCTTTAAAAATATTGAAATCTGAAATCTGAATCTCCCCCCTCTCTTTCTGAGTAGAATGGGCTGAGAATGTGCATGGCTGCATATAAGTATTGTATTCAGTTGTCCTTAGGTTGTGAATGTTGCAGAATGCATAGAGCGACATTGGAATGGAGGTTTATTTTTCTTTTTCTTCAGAAGTTCAAAGCCACAGGCACATAAATCAAGATGCAAGCTATTTTCAGTAATTAATGAAGGAGTCAAAAGAACAGAATTTTAAATTATCTCAAACGTACTCAATATTTCTACTGATCTTTTTTTAAATTTGAAATGAGGTTGTGTTATTTCTTAGACCATTGATGATTCAATGTTTTCCTGGTCATGTACACAGTTTTGTAGAGGAATGTTTTTATATCTGCACTTGTGCGATAACTCCACTCTTTATATGAGATTCTCTGTATCTCTTCAGTTTGCTGAAAGAGTTGCTGACAGTTCCCTTTCTTCCGCCAGAGATTGAGTGAGTACTCCAAGCCAGGCAGATATAATTGTTTTCACATAAATCATATATATTGGATACTTGATTGCACTTTTCATGTCTAGACATCTATTACTCTTTGGCCACTTTGCTTTGTGTGATGTGTCATGACCTGCTTTCTTTTACACTGATTTGCTTTTTTCCCAAAACAAAACAAAAATATTGAAATCTGTTTGATGATTAAAATTATTGTAGTTTCAAGTTTATAATGACCCCAAAAGACAAAACAAAACAAAAACCCACAAAAAACTAACAAAACAAAACGAACAAAAAACCCCAACAAAACTAACAAAAACAACCATATCTAAAAACTGTTTAATCAGGAATGATGCTTAGTTTCAAGATTTTAAAGCCAGAACACATAGAAGTAAAGAGTTGCTCTGCCTAACGATTTTGAAAGAGGTCTAGTCTAAGTTTTTTTTACTTGTTCAGAGGTATCATGATTTTCTCCCTTCACAAATAGATTTTGGTAATTATGTCACTGCATATTTTTACAGGAAGCAGGGTAGAAAAATAGTTAGGCTGGAAAAAAGAAATGAATAGTTCACAGCTTCAGAGTATTACCTTCCAGCCATATGCAGAGCTTATGAATTTGATCCCACTAATCTTGTGGGTTTTTTAAATCTTGCTTTTTTTTGTCCTTCAGCAAAACATACCAGCTTGGGGAGTATGAGAACAGCATCAACTACAAGAATATTCAGGCTGAAAAATTGCTGGACAGATTTTTCAGGTAGGATTCGACTGTGATTTTTGCTAGTGAATTTATGTGATACTGAGCTGTTAGAATTTTGTAGCTGTGTCTTTGCTGGTCAGAAAACGAAAAAGACCTTGAAATCATGTCTGTGGAAATCCTATTCTGATGTCTTTTTGCTCCTCCTACACTAGCTAAAATTGGTCTAGCTCAAATACAAATTTACCGATATAGTACACCGCATGCTGCTTGCTGGTAATGTTGTACTAAGTATGTGATTTCTATCGTTTTTGGTATATAATTATTCTGTGCCTTGTGGCTAATTTTCAATCGAACAGATACTGCAAAATGGTTGTGGACTTCACCGCTGAGGAGGCTTTCAAGAGGTTGAGGTACTGTGAGGATCAAATCAAGAAAAAGACAGTCTTGTGAGTATGGTGTTTGTGTCAGATGGAGTGTCCTCAAATAGTGGTTTTGGTTTGCTTTCAAAAGATTATAGGTTTATTTCATGGCTGTGTTGAGTGCAACGTAGCATACTTGGGAAACATGCTGTACTTTATTTTTCCGTATTTCATCCAGTTGTAGTTGGGTTATTGGGAATAAATAGAGTACTCGAGTATGATGGTGATGTGTACGTTTATGGCAGCATGGCTGTACATGCTGTGGGGGAGTGAGAAGGTCATTTGGTGGGAACTAGCCAGCCAACAAGGTTACTGTGAAGTGTTAAGAGAAAACAAAGCTAAAGTACAATATCATACACTTTTCATGATATTCTATGAATGTCTGGTTTCTTTCCTTTGTGTTTTGTCTCAAAGTATGCACAATAGAAATCAGCTGTTTCCTTTTTTTTTTTACTAACAATATTTTGTCATTATAACTTTTTAAAAGTACAGATAAGTGTGAGGTGTGTTTTAAAGTTAATTATATGCACTTTTGAGACTTGTCTCTTTAATTGTAATCTAATCCCCCCCCCCCTCCCCCCAGCTCAAAGTCTTCCTGCACTTAGTTGGAGAAATGAATGGGAACCCCCCCCCCCTCCCCCCAGCTCAAAGGACTCATTACACATGCAGAAGATGAAGAAGCAAGAGAGAGAGCAAAACCTGAAGGATGCTAAAAGGGAAACTGCGTAAGTAAATTGAGTTTTCTTTGAACTTGTTTTGTGATGTCTCTTCTGATGTTCCATTCTCTTACCTCAAGGTGGTTTGACCTCATCCTTGTACGTCTACAGAGACACATATTTTGATAGAAGAATTTTAAATTTTATTCACTTGGATCACAATCCTATTTTATGGCAAAAGACTTTTTGTATATATTTTCCTGTTGTGTGCTGCCATTCTCTATGTCGTGCAACATTGATAAGTTATAGTATATCGAGTTTGTTTTTATACATGTATGTATGCAACTCTAAACATAATTTCTCAGGAGTATCAACAAAATTGAATTCTTATTTTTGAGGCATAGTGTGTAGGGGTGAAATCAGGTGCTCATTAAAATAATGCTATCGAAGAAACCTCCATTTTTCTGCCCATTGCCCCATTGTTCAATTTCAGCACCTTTTCCTTTTGTGTCCATTTAAAAACACATCTCTGTGCGGATTTTACTGAAAAATGTTAATCAGAGGCTCAGAAAAATGTAAATTTGCTGTTTGGCAGCTATTTTCAGGCTAATTTTACATCTGACACCCAGCAACCCCACCTCCTTCAATTGCAGGTATCTTGGTTATTATTTAAGATAGATGGATATTTTTTGGCGGGGGGTCAAAAGCAAGACAAAATGAACAAGCTTCAAGATTCCATAACTCCTTATGCCCTTGGCAAGCACCTGATTCACTGTGTCATGACATGTTTATATTTTTTCCTTTTCAATCTCTAAATATATGTCTTATTTCTATAGTCATTTTCCGAGAAATGTTTAATGTGTTCTACGCACTCATATGACCTTATGCAATTGCGAGCGCTTGTAAAACTTACCAAAATACACTAAAAAAAACCCAACTCTTTTTCTCTGTCCAGCTTCTTGGGGAACTTTGTGAAGCTGGTGGACCAGATGATTGTGGAGCACATGTTCCAGATCACCAAGTCCCAGGCCACTCACTTCGTCCACTCTGTGCTGGAGATTGGGATGGATGCTCCGCGGGAGGGATTCTTCAAAGCCAATCTAGTCTTCAATAAGCAAGGTATGTTATAATATGTGGATGTATGGGCCAAAGCCCTTTCAAATCAGTAATATCGTCTTGAAATAAGCAAGGCATGTGACACACCCTTTGACAAAGGTTATTGCATGTTGAACACATGCCCTGTTCACTTATTGATATGTGTATTGCTTTTGAACAATTTTTTTAAAAAATGTTTTCGAGAATCAAATGCATTTGAATTCTTCTGTCCAGGTTCTGTTGGGATGAGTGGTTGGTACTGTGTTTGGGTTTGATATAGGAGAAACTTTTGTATTAAGATCCTTTTTTTTTCTAGTCTTCATTGAACTCAGTTGTAATGTCAAACCCCTCTCTTTCAGATATGTTGGGGCTGTCCCCTTCCAAGGACAGATTCCAGAAGGTTCTCAGCAACACGTTGCGAGGCATACCACAGATTCTTATGTCAAAGGTCATCGCAATAGATGGCTGTGTGCAGGACAAGGAATCCCTTGAGGGGGATACGACAGCACGCTCCGAGGGCCACAAACATCCTGACAAGTATTTGATAAATTTAATCCAACTGATATAACATGGACTAAAAATAGAATAAGATCAAATTAAATGAAATATAACAACAATTTTATTATACCACTTGGGATTCATTAATGACAGATAAAGCACAGTATCACCCCAAGACAGTTAATCTTAAAAACACACTGTTATTGGTCACCACTGCCCCCCCCCCCCCCCCCCCCCCCCCCCCCCGTTTTGGACAAGGGTTATTGTGTCTTGCTCAAGGACATACCCCAGTGATCACCCACCTAAATGGTTTGTCAGTGACATGTGCGGAACATTGTAGTGAGACTTTGCTCTCTAACCTCTTGACCACTGGAACCTACCTTCCCCCCCCCTCCCTCCGCCTCCCCACTCCAAACGCTTCCAGGTCACCAAATATGTACTTTGTTGTACCATGGAATATCGTGAAATCTTTATGCTAGGAATTGGTCTTTTTGAAAAAGAATATTTATTAATCCATGGGAAAATAAAATATAGGAGAACCTCTTTTGTCATATATTTATAAATTATCAATATATTCAGAAAAAAAGAATAGTTGTCTAAGAAAGTTCAAAGTGAATGCACACATCATTTCTGAATAGATTTATCAGATCCCCCCACCTCATACCGTACATTATGTAGGAGACCTTGGTTATCAAATAGATAATGAGCAAAGCTAGTGTTCAGTTCAGGCACATATTTCCACTTGGTAGTGACCAGCAACAGAATGCTTTTATCTGAAGTGTGTCTAATTGTATTATGCTATGTAAGTTGTTTTTATGTTTGTGATTATTCAAAATATTGTGATTTTTCAACAAACTGCTCTCCAGAGATAAGTGAAGTTGGCTTTCCTTTGTTTATGCTTAGGCTTTCTCCTGTCTGACTCTGTGAATGTAGCAAATTGCGCCCTTAATGTGTGCCATTCTTTCCCGGCAGTCTCATAAGTTATTGTATTCTCAAATCCTTGCAGTATTCACAGACTGTCCATCAGTTTTGCTCAGGCAACTGTGGAAGGCAAGAGTGGCACTGCCTCACTGATAAGTTCCCTCAAGCAAAGCAGCCACCAGACATTTGGCACAGGTTCGGAGCCGCCAGCCTCCCACTTAGAGGGAACCTCGGGGGACCGGGACGTGGACGGAGAGACGGTTGTCAGCTCGGTCAAAGTCACAGGAGATGGACCTCTACCACTTCCTGACCTGCCCAAACAAGGTGAGAGTGCCATGTTATTATCATGATCAACTCTACTGTCACTATGAGGGAATGGCTTACTGATGGGAAAAATGTTACAGAAAATGACCTCTGGGACTGGTTCATTGAACCAGTGTTTGGGTAGCTTATTTTTGTTTTCAAACTTGACCCAAGATGCTTGAGATAAAGGAATTTTACCACCATTGTACTTTGAGGTACTTTTCTATGCATGGTATTGCCATATTTAATAATAACTTGTAATGAGAGTTCCAGACTTCTTTTTGTCTTAAAATTATCTCAGTGCCACTTTCAATCAACAAAGTTGACACACTTACAAATTGCCTTTGCATTATGATCAGTCCTTTTGTATTGTGGTCAGTCTATGTGGTTCAAATATAGGCTGTGTCAGCAGAGTTAAGCTACGTTATACATGCTGTCATTTGTACTGGTGTGAGATGTAGAAAAGCACTTGTTTATTTTGTTTGATGTTGAAAGATGGATAGATGCTGTTATTTTAGGTTGCTGAGCTGGTTGATTTCTTGCTTCTTTTCTGATGAAAGTAATTAGAGGGAGACATGGTTCTAACTCTAGTAATCTAGTCCTCCTTTGAAAAGCATCAACACTGTCATGGGTCTATAATTCTAAGGATTTCAGGGTCAGGTTTTTTCATTTTGCCTTTTGATTTTCCTCACTCTCCTTTTTCCTTTCTTTTACAACTGTTTTTTTTCTCTCTTTCTCTGTTTCTTCTGTGTATCGGTCTTGCTTTCTCTTTTCTCAAACTCTTAACCTTATTTAAAAGTGAATGTGATCCTTAAGGTTCTTTATGATTTTATAACTTTCAGCTTTGTCAAACTTCAAACATTTTCTCTTAACTGCCCTCATTTTTTAGCCACACCATCAAAAGAGGAAGATGAAATGGGCGTGGCCACACCTGAGTTGGTGATGCTTCATGCAGATGATGGACAGTTGGTGGTGGAGGGTGAGGGCTTCATGGGTCAGTACAGCCCTTTGTCTAAGGCCAACCTGGAGGAGAAGCTGCACTTGGAGTAAGTGAACAACTGTTAATAAGTAAGGAGGAGACGAAAATGGAGTCAAGTTCCTCAGGGAATGTAGAACTTAATCAGAAATTGTGGAACTCACTCAGATATAGCACATATTCAGAAAGAAAAGAGCTTCCTCAGAATGCGAAACTATTTTATATCATATTATATTATGGAAACTAGTCAGAATTCATGGAACTGGAATAAAGTGAAGACAGCTTGTAAGTAGTACCAGAAGAGCTTTGTGCTATAGAGTTATTCAGCAACATGACTTATTGAATGGGTCATGTTCAAGTGTGGGCTTCCTGCAGTTTAATAAATACTGTTTAACGCACTTTTGTCCTCAATCATTTCTCTTGTGGTCATAAGTTTCTCTCAAGAATTGAAATGGAAAGAGAAACAGGAGTTTGACTCTTTGCTGAACCTGCACTGGTGATTTCAATGAGTTAATCCAGCTTTGGCTTTTAAGGTGTATGAAGAAATAAGTTCAGGAAAAAGATAGTAGTGTGTAACTGTAGTGCTTTATCTGTTTTTTCCTTTCTCTGATTAATTGTTAATGGGTTGTTGTCTTTTTTTACGTTACCATCAGCACAATTTAGATCATCTAGAAGGTGGGCACTTCTACTCTGCATGTCAAGGTCAAGGTGGCCTGAATGTTATACGGTATCCCAGCAGAAGGACAAAAATAGTGGATAAAAAAGACTGCTCACACAGGAATAAAATTCATGTCTTTTGCTGGCATGGTCTGAGATCCTTGTCATTAATAATCATAATAATAGATAGCATTTGTATAGTGCAAATTCCCTCTCAGCAGCAAGCTCTATGCGCTTTACAATCTATATTATTACCCCAGCGGACCTGATAGTATTCTGAAACAATTTCAACTTCCTTGGAAGCATACAGTACAAGCTACCATTTTATAGGCTCTAAAACACTCACATACTGACAAAGTCTTTTGCTGTCTATGGCTGGGTTCCCATTCCCACCTGAGCGAAGTGAGGAAAATTAATGTAAAGTGCCTTTCCCAAGGACACAGTGTTGGACCTGCAGCTTAAATCCCTGAACCTGCAACCTCACGATTAGGAGTCTGGTAGCCTAACCACTGGATTAACAATGCCACATTACTTCACAGGCACTGATTCCACTTTCTCTATTGTTTTGTTCATGCTCTTTAGTTTTGTTTTTCAGTCATGAGTACCAAGCTGCTTTGAAGAAACAGATGACACTGATGGCTGTAAGCATGGAGGAGATAGACCACTACTGTGAACTCAACAAGTGGCTGAATGAGATACACCAGTACTGCCGGCGCTGGAATGAGAAGTCGGTCAAAGAGTTCCGAGGGGCTGCTGCATTTGCCATTGAGGTGAGACTGTAGTGGAGTGAACATGTAATCTTTGCTGGGTTAACTTTAAGTGGTAACTTTCTGTTCTAAATGGGTAGATTACTTTCAGGAACGAATACTTTTAATATAATGCTTGTTTTGTCTAACTGGACACTAATAACCTACGATTTCCTTTTTGAGTGAGTCAAAGGCTGGTACACAAAGGTTGTGTATTTTTTGCCCTTGTATGAATCTGTCACAAGGGAATATAATATTTCTTTTTAAAAAAGAGGTCTTGAAACTGATTTTGAGCTTTAGGTGTCATGGTTATGCGATTAAGTAGTAACCCCCATTCTCAAATGGATGGAGCTTATTTTGGTGTTTTAGGAATCGTGATGGCTAAAATGAAGAGTCCTGAATTTTCAAGAAACATGTTTTAAAGGGTTAATTACAGTTTACAATGCTTATCCTTTCCTGAAGGGGAATAAATCGGATTCTTATCTATTTCTCAGCAAAAACTGACAGAACTGCGCCAGTGGTCGGAGAAAGTGAGGAACTTTGATCGGAACTATGTGACAGAGAATGGCATGTTCTACATCGACTGCTCTGCTATCCATGAGGGGCTACTGCCGCGCCTTAATGATATTTACCAGGAGCTCATTACATTTGTGGCTGATGAAGCTAAGAGCCTGGCCAAGAACTTTGCTGAGGAGATGAATGTCATTCTCAAGGTAAGTCCATTTTGTTTAAGGGCTTGTTGATTTTCTCATAAAATGAATTTTCTAATGGGTGAAATGTTTATGTGTTAATGTGTATACAATCATATTATGGACTTGAAAGCACTGCTTTGCATTGTATTTTATTAGTGTTGACAAGAAGCTGATAAGAATAAATCTGAAAATACGGAATAATTTACTAATATTGCGTTATGTCGTTATTTTATTAAATGCCTTGAAGTTGATGGCATATTTAGCCAGTGAAATTTTTTTTTTTTACGTAATATTTCGAGTGAGTTTTATTTTTTTCCTGTTACACATTTATATTTATTTCTTTCCTGTTCAGAACATGACAGACAAGCGAGAGGATGTTTCATCTTTTGCCTCATTTGCCAAAAACTTTGGCCACTACAAGAAAAACACTGTACAGTACCAACAGCGAGTTGAGTACATCAAATCACTTTACGAGGTAAGTTGAGACATAGTGACATATGGAAAAAAGATGGGAATAGTAGTCCGTAATGTCTGTAGTAAGCCGATTAGTGGAAGAAAGATAAGCGTAGACCCTAAAAATATTGCAACAAAAATGAAACTCATATGGTTTGACTGATAAAATTGCGTGTAATAACATATTAAAAATCAGCATTCAAATTCGTGGAGCAAATTGTCTAAAAAAGCATTAAAAGTTATCAAAATAGCAAAATTTATATTACGACCAAATCGATTTATTATACTTGCTTTGACGCGAGAATGTTTACGTAATTTGCATGGATTTTCATGAAAACAATGTAGTAGTGATCGTTATCAGCGCTTTTTATGTAAAAGGTATGGGAAGTCAATATACATGTATTAAGAATACATTTTCTCACAACCTCAGCCGGAGCTTTTCAGTGGATGTTTGTTGACTGTAATTTCCCTCTAAAGAATTTCCCCGTGTGCAATTGACATAACAAGATGTGAATGGTATTCTGGCCGTTGTACAACATAAAGAGAACACTATAGATGTATAGATCGTTGTACAACATAGAAAGAACAATATAGACGTATAAATCGTTGTACAACATAAAGAGAACAATATAGATGTATAGATCGTTGTACAACATAAAAAGAACAATATAGATGGGACTGAAGGGCACCAAGTGCACATTTCGTGTCACCGATCTTAAATGAGTGCAAAATCTTTTTCCAAAACATAGAAAGACTAGTCACAGTCCAGGAAGCTTAACAGTCTCTCTCACTTTCTGTCTCTCTATCTCTGGCTTTCTCTCTCTCTTTGTACCTTCCCTCCTCCTCCCCCTCTCTCTTTCTCTCTCTCTCTCTCTCTCTCTCTCTCTCTCTCTCTCTCTCTCTCTCTCTCTCTCTTTGCCCTTTTCTTCTTCTTCTCTCTTTCTCTTTGGTCTTATGACCCCTCTCTTGCTTCATCCCTCTGCAGATTATCTGCATTAACTACAACAAATGAATATCCATTCTCTTAGTTTATTTCTCTCTCGTTCGCTCACTCTTTTCCTTCCCTCAGGTAATCCGCATGAGCTACAGACAGCTGACCAATGAGGAGGAGAAGCATGAGGAAAGGGTCTGGTCCTCCTGGGAAGCCTTCCTCATGCAGATGCAGGATGCCTCAGAGTTTGTGAACATACAGACGCCGCTCATGATGCAGCAGCTGGAGGAGGCATTCCAGGTGATGACTAGCAACATAATCTGATTTCTCAGTGCCTTTGACTTTACTGTCTTATATCCTCAACTGTTCCTGTGCCATGAATTATCATCATATGTTTAACCCTATCTGTACGCCCTGGAGTAATTTTGTACTCCTGGGATTGTATTCTTCACATTTTAGAATACTTCCAGTGCGAAGATCTCTTTGAAACTTTCAGTATTTCTCAAAAAATCATTTTGACAGACTGCTATGCAAAGCGTACTGATTGGATTAACTAGTAAATTTCCTCTTTGGAAAGTGGTGGCACAGAGTTCCCCACGTCGTATGGATATGATAGTAAAACATGATGTACGGATAGGGTTAACAGGTGTGAATAAATGTGCTGATGTATCAGCACTTGGTGCAGACTGAGATAAATAATTTTCCTTCAACATATTGTTTTAAATTAGTTATGTCTGATTTTGAAAATAAAAGTTTTTCAAATTGACTTTGAAAATAATAACGTTCACAAGCATGACTTTTATATCAACCAAAAATATGTATGTGCTGATACAACAAGGGGTGTCACTTTTGATTGTCAATCATACACGATTATTGATGTGAAGTTAAGGGCTATGTCATGCCCTACAAGTTGGTCAATTCATTATTTAATTTCATTCAACTCATTAGGGTGCAAACTTATGATTTGTATATATATATATATAAATATATATATATATATATATATATATATATATATATATATATATATATATATATATATATATATATATATATCAGATATCAGAATTATGAAAAACCTAAGGCAAACAGAAAGATCTAAAGAGCTGAATAAGTAAAGCTCTATGGCTACCACATATTAAAAAAAAAGTAAACAAAAATAGGGGGGGGGGGGGGGGGGGGTTAATGGGGAAAATGAAGTAGAAAGTTCTGGCAATCAGAGGTGCAGATATAAAAACAAAAAAAATTATGGCGGTATTTGTGTGTGTTATGTTTTCTAGCGGCTGAGAAAAGAAGCCACCATGCAGTCTGAGCTGGCCACAACAGGCATGTTTTTGGACCCCACGGTCAATGCTCTCAAGATCCTGGCAGACATGAAAGTGGTGAGTGGTGCTGTCTTTCACCTTTACTCTTCACCTATTCTGTCGCTCTACTTGTGATGGTTTTTAAAAAAATGTGCTCATGTGTGTGGGTGTGTGTGGATATGTGGGTTGTGTGTGTGTGTGTGTGTGTGTGTGTGTGTGTGTGTGTGTGTGTGTGTGTGTGTGTGTGTGTGTGTGTAGTTATGAGACTTAGCCTTCCTCTAACCTTACCTCTCCATAGTCTGGCAAACTGGTATTACGACATTGAGTTGAGCAGGTAAGGGCATGTGTGTCTTATTGATTTTAGCTAAAAAGCATTCTTCTGTGCTGAAATTGCACATTTGACTGGATTCTGTGGTGCTCTGGTGTAGTTATGAGACTTTCTTTTCCTCTTACTTGTACTCTCATTTTGAGTGAAGCAGGTAAACTTCTAAGTGATCTATTGTGTGATTGTCTGTTGCTTTTGGGGAGGAGAGTAAACTATTCAATGGCGCTCATATGACCTTATGCAGTTGCGAGCGCCGTAAAATCCACTACTATAAAAAAAAACAAAAAACTATTCAAACTCTTACAATAAATCAAAATATAGTTTTTTGTTCAGGGGGTGGTTGGAGACGGTTATAGTTCCCTCCCTTTTCTTTCTCTCAGTTGTTTCTGTCCGTCATTCTTGCTTTCATCCTTACTCTAAATGGTCATAACTGTGTTGATGTGTTTCTCTCAACTCAAACAATTGTGAGCGGATGGTTTGCGGGTGCACTAGTGTGGTTGCTTCTTCTTTCCTATCAAACATCTATTGTCTTGATCTCTCCTCTTTTTTATTGTGTTTGTTATTCTCTTGTATCCCTCTAATCTTCGGCACTTATATGACCTTATTGTGTTTCAAGTGCCGTAAATTCTTTAAAAACTAACTAAACAACTGTGTGTTCAGATTCGAGAGAAGTTCTTCAGCACTCAGACTCAGCTTCAGGAGGCTAGCCAGTGGCGTGAGGCAATCCTAGGGGAGCCATACAGCCTCAAGTTCCTCAATGAGATGATTATGAAGATGGACGTGAGACAGGAGCTGTGGAAGTATGTGGAGGTCTCCACACACACCATCAAAGACTGGAAACAAATGCTCTTCAAGAAGGTGGGTTTGGCTACTGTTTCACACTATACAGTATCAGTTAGCTGGTGGTGTACAGTTCAAAACTATCTAGTAACCAAATTATTTTGAGATAGTTTGCAGGAAAACTGGAGAAAAAAAATATGGATTAAAGTTTAGATTTTGACACAATAAAAGTGAAAAAAAAGGGCTTTGATGATTGTAATTGCAGCAATGAAAGACTTCAGTAGGTGCTCATAATATTTTTAAATTAAAGAAATAAATCTTGGCTCCACAACTAAACCGTTTACACAAAAGTCATGATATGTGAGTTTGGCTCTCAATGACTGATGGATTGGTTCTTTTATTTTGTTTCTCCCAAGATTTTCTCATTTTGTTTGAAAGTCTTTTTCCTATTTTGAGTTTCTAAAGTAGAGGCTGATTTATAAGGGAACATAGGTTCAATAACAGTATCAAGCAATGTAGATGGGACAGCTTTTAAATGGATGGTCCTTGGGATGTCTCTGAGCAAGAGTTAAAGAGTCTAAATGAAAAAACGGGGTAGGGGGGCTTTCGTTATGGTGACCAGTACATTTAGTTGGGAGGAACTTAAGATATAAGTACTTTTCTGAAGGGGACAAATTTTTTACTTGGGAGAGCAGGTTATTGGGCCTGTGGTCTCTCAATGATGAGCCTGATGCCGTTCCTTTCAGATCAGGAGGCGCTGCCATCATTCACCTCCCTCCCCCTTCTTGTTTATGGCCATGAGTGAATAGATCAACTTTGGAACTTTTTTTACTCAGTTTATATCATGCTATGCTGTGGCATAGATGACTGCCGTTCAAAATAGAAATTCCCAATAGGGCGTTAATGAACTTGGCCTTTCGAGAAGTTTTGGAGTTTCTCTCTGTACTTTACTGGGTCCTACTGTTTGAGATTGATTCGAAACTCAGAAAATATCCGGCTTCTCAAAAAACTTAAGAATTTTGAAAAAGGCACTAAAAATTCATACTATTACCTATTCCAGATCAACATCAAGAAAGCCCTGGAGAAAGTGATTGAATGGCAGTCGGCAGCCTCCCAGCTCAAGCCTCTTGTGGGACATGGGGACTCCGTGCTCACAGCCTGGTACCGACAGCTGCAAGATTTTCGGAAAGATCTTCCCATCTTGCACAAACTGGCCAACGATGCTCTCAGGGTGAGAGAGAAAACAGAGTTAATATTTCATCTCATTTTATACTATACCTTATGAATTTTTTAAAAAAGTTATAAGCCATCTATGAATAATGATATGACATCACATTTTGTGCCTTTAGAATTTATGCAAATGTACTTTGCTGTATTTGCCTAAACTTGGAATCATTGAAAGTGAAAGTAATGGGTATTCAAATGTTTACAAAATCTTTTTAGATACCATTGTATTATTCATTATATTTACAAGTTCTGGGTACAGAAATAAGTAAAGTGATGTTGGACTGCTGTGATCTAACAGATCATTTTAAGAATTCTGCTTTCAGCTTTCAAGTCTTGCGCATTTTTTAGAAGACCTTCACCATTCAGTGAAAAATAACAAAAAATGTGACTCTATTACATGTATACACTTTTGTTACAGGAAAGACATTGGCATGCCATATTTCTGGGGCTGAATGAGCCGTTTGACCCCAGTCATCAGTTCACAGTGGCTGAGCTGATGTCTTACAATCTGTCAGACCATGCGGAGCTGGTCACTGCCACATACCTGAGCGCTCTCGCAGAGTATGACCTGGAGCAGAGGCTGAATCGCATCACCAAGTTCTGGCATGACAGGCAGTTCAAACTGGCAAAACATATTCCTGACAGCATGTTTACCAAAGGTATGTTGTTTGAACCCAACCAGACAGTTAATAATTATTGGCACTGTGGTGAAATCAGGTGGTTGTCAAAATAATGAAATAGAAGAAACCCACATTTTTATGCTCTCTGGGTAATTTGTTTTGACTTTTTTTTAGTTTTAACTCACCAACTTTTAAGTCTATTCTACTCTTTATCTTCTGCAAGCTGCTCCCAGCGGCTCACGGTCAGATCTGCTTGGGTACATACCTAAACAACAACTTTGATATTGTATGAATTTTCAGCAGTTGTTGAAAAACGAGTCTCTTGTACCTGGAGTTCTTTCATTAGATGAAAAACTATTAGAGTAAGTTCATTAAAAAAAATTTAATGACCACTTTTGTTAAGTATATGTCTCTCGGCCCCGGCAGAGTGGAAAAATCCCTACAAAGATAAAGAGTTAGAAGCACATTTCTGTGTGGATTTTACTGGAAAAAAGTTTATCACAGGCTCAAAAAAGATGTAAATTTACAGTTTTCAAGGCCACTCAAGCTTTAGAAGTCACCACACTTTGATAGCCGTTTTCTCTTTAATTTTACCTCTGACACTAATCACCCACTACCTCCTTGGATCACAACTATCTTGCCTTCTGCTCAAGGTGGTTGGGTATTTTTTGTTCGTCAAAAACTAGACAAATGAATAAGCTTTAAGTTGATACTAATAACCCTCTATGCCCTTAAATTGACAATTGCCTGATTCTACTGTCGTGACACTATTTGTTTATGGAAGTTCTTTGGGGGACTGCTAGCGCTACCCACTATGGGACTGTGAAGTTCCCTAGCGCTGCTTAGATCTACTTATACTGTGCCGTCCCCTAGCATTCCACAATGGGGGACCGCAAAGACAGTTTGATATTGATACTAGGTATTTATATATAGGTACTGATTTAGCCTCAAGGTTTATTCTTGATGATAGGACCACACTTTACTATATTTTACTTTTCTTCTGCATATCCCTTCTTGGTTACTGATTTTAAGATCTTTATCTCACAGTGCAGTTGGTTTTTACGTTCATGGCTGTTTTTCTAACAAAGAACGTAAAATCATCCCTTGCCTAGCAGGCAGCCGCGTGCTGTTTTCGAAGGTACTCTTTGTACTTAGAGTGGTTTCAGTTTTGGATAGGAATTAATTTGAATCTTGTCCCGATGACCGAGAGGGTCCACCCTTTTCTTTTTTTAAAAAACCGCCAATTTATTTAAACCTTCCGCATGGGTCCTCAGAATTTTTTTGTCCTAATCTTTGAAGACTCGGCGCTCAATCATAGGTACCCTATGATCAAGGGGTGTAAAAAACATAAAGAAAAAACTCGATATTGGTAGAGCTTGATTTCCAGTCCTCGGGGTTTACTGGCAAAAGCTTTTCCTGTTGAGGAACTCAATCCCCTTGGTGTATTTTTTTATACAGCAGAAATTGTATTCAGGTTGTTTCATAAAGTGTTTTAAAAAGATGACAAATCAAAAAGCCCATTCCTCTGTTTGCTGTTATTATATTTGCCCTCCTGACGTAAAGATTTCTTTTTTTCCCTCTCGTTGTCTACCTCTCATGTGCCCCAACTGCTCTTGTATGTTGGGCTCACACAGATTTGTGTATGGTTTAGTGTTTAAACTCTTTTTGAAACTATAACAAAAGTAAAGCAAAAAGTCACTGTGGTCGGGGAATTACAGTCAGTTTTTCTTAATACAAGCTTTATATTTGAATACTTGTGAGGTATATTCGTTTTCACATTTATTTGCTTTTGCCCCCAGAACCTGCCAAGCGTGGAGGTTCAGGCAAGCGGCCAACAAAGTTGGAGCGCTACCGACAAGAGCGGGCTGCTGCAATGGCTGGGGCTCAGAAAGGCCTGGAGGTTGCCAATGATGACTTCTACGTGCTGATTGAGGTGGAGGACCTGAAGTATCTGTTAGAGGTAAGCTGTGCATCTGATGTAATGACACCTGCCTACCCCCCCCCTCCCCCCTTCTCCCCCTCCCCACCCCCCCCCCCCCCCCCCATGTATGTCATGAGTGTTTGTGATGTCTAAGTGGGAATCATCACCTTTACTGACTTCCTTCAGCACTTGTGGTCCATAAGTATGCTTCTTGCAAGACAAACCCCCCCCCCCCCCCCCTCATGCCTTTGAACAACAAAGTTTTATTGTTTCGATCGTCATCCTAAAACTAACTGCCTGTTTTTTTTCAGGATGCTCGCTGCACTGTGGATGCCATGTTGGCTTCTCCGTACGTCGGGGACATCAAGAGCCAGGTAGAGTACTGGTGCCAGGCTCTGAGGGAGATTGAGGAGATCGCTGACCAGTGGGTGGAGTGCCAGAAGAAGGTAGGAATAGACACTTCATTGTGATGTCTTAGTGTTTGAGTTTGGGAGAACTTTATCTTGCTGTCCGTTTTCTTAATATTCAAACCACACTTTGCTGGTTATACAGAGGGTAGAACAAAGAGCTTGCTGCCTTTTTTTGCTAGAAATGTTGGGATCACTACATCTTTATTGTGAGCACATATGGGCTCAGGAAAAATGGAAGATAGCTGTCATAATTGTACTTTCATTATCATGTGTATCATTACAAGTATTGCTGACTGTTTGATGTTGGTAGAAATTCATTTTCCTGTTCTGTCGTCTTCCATTCCTATGAAAAAACAAACAAACTTTTTGTGCCAGGTTTAGGGGAACAGTTGTTCTGATTTTGCATATAAAGAATGACAGCTCTCCTATGTTTTACCACGATGAACTGAACATAGTCTTGATTGTAAAAATCTTTGTCCTTTGCAGTGGCTTTACCTTTTGAAAATATTTGAGAGGGCTGAACTCTATCGCAAGTTCTCTCAACAAGCCTTCAAATTTGAAGCCATTCACACAAAGTTCAAGGTAAGATAGATGAGATGTAGTAAGATGAAATATACTTTATTTGACTTTCCATTAGAAAAAAAAGTCAATGTGCTTTCCTCCAGTTCCTGCGATACAAAATTTTCATACATTTGCTTCATATTGACATGTCACATTCTCTTTCTCTCTTTCTCTCTCTCTCTCTCTCTCTCTCTCTCTCTCTCTCTCTCTCTCTCTCTCTTTCTCTCCCTCTCTCTCTCTCTCTCTCCCTCCCTCTCTCACAATTTTTCTCTCCCTCCCTCCCTCCCTCTCTTCTTCCTGATATTACTCTTTTTTTGGTCCCCTCTGACTTGTACACTTACTTACTCCCTCCCTCAGCTCAGTCCATCCTTTCCAGGTATAAATTAGACATTTTGAAAAGCTTTAACCCATGGACTGGATCTCATTACCATATAAACACAAGGCAATGTTATAGAATGTCAATGAAACACATCATCAATGTTAACATTGTTGTATTTGTCAAGCCATGCAGAGAATAATCATTATTAATCTGAACAAAGGAAAAAGACATATAATGTACTAAATATTTGAACCTTCTTTGAAAGAGAATTGTCAGGCTATTATTCTTTTTATAAAAACAATTTTAGATCATGAAACTAAACAATCAAAAATTGCCTTCCAGGACTGGATGAGGGTTGTGTCAAACGACTCCAAATGTTTATCTGTTGTGAACCGTCGCCGTGGTGACAAGGGGTATCGTTTGCTGCAGGGGGACAATTTGAAAGCTTTGCTGCTTTCTCTAACCAGAGAACAGGTTTGTAAATTGTTTTTTTGGGTTGTTTTTTTTTTTTTTTTTTTTAAATCTTGCATTGTGTGTCATCCTGCAGTGTTACTCATTCTTATGAAACAGTTCTCTGTGACATGACTACTAATGTTTGCCTAGCTGAAAAGGGAAAATTCAAATTGTTAATTCCTGTACTAAGCTTATTTTATTTAGAAAGAAAATACAACAATGGGGATGAACTGCTCCAGAAACAAATAGTAAATAAAATTTTTGAACGTAAAATATTTAGTCCTTGGTACTTGCTGTTCTCTTAAATGAAAATGAGTGGAAAAAAGTCCCATGAAAAGCTTTATGCTGCTTGCATATTTTCACTGATAAGCAATGACACTTCCTTTTCATCAAAGTAATATGCTTTATGAATTTGCCCAAGGCTTGTTTTGGAGATTGTATCTATTCATTGTTTTAAACCTTGAATACATTGGATATGGTTGACCATGAAGTGTGTATGCCTCTTTCATCATCAAATCATCAGACTGTTAAAATTTGAGTTTGTACATTCATTGAAAGATGTGAGTTGGTGAAATGGCAATGCTTAATCTTTCAACCAAATCTTTAAAATTCTGTTATTGTTTTCTATTTTTTTTTTAAATACCTTGCAGGAGGAAATCTTGAGGGACCTTGAGGCTTACATAGAGAGGTCAAGGTCAAACTTCCCACGCTTGTACTTTCTTAGCAACTTGGAGATTGTCGACCTCCTGGGTGTGTCTCGCAACCCACAGGCTCTGTTACCCTATGTGAGAAAGTGTTTCCCTACCATACAGAACCTCACATTTGCTCTCCCTCCTGGAATGGGTGGCCTCAACTCTCAACTGGATTTTGCCCTGAACAGTAAGAAAATTGACTTCCCAGCATGATCATTACAGTTATTTTGATTTTTATCGATCAAATTCCTTGTTAACACGACAGGTCATATTTGTCAGTTGTAAAAGTATATATCTTTTTGTTTTAAATTCTCTGCCGTGGAATGAACAACAGAGAGCTAAAGAGTCAGATGTATACTAGTGTAATTTTGCAGGTTAAGAATTTTAAAAATTTCTATTTCATAACTGAATCATAACAAGATCAGGGTTGATGATCAACTGATGACAATGATATGTCAAAGTATTTGTGAGACATCATGGTGAAATAAGGTGCTCATCAAAATAATACAATCGAAGAAACTGCCATTTTTCTTTCTGTTTTGCAATTTTTATTGAATTCTTGTTTTTAGCTCAGCACCTTTTACGGCCAAGTTAAAATACATTTTTCTGTATATTTTACTGAAGAAGGTTGATTAAATGCACAAAAGATGTACAGTTGCAGTTTCCAAGGATTTTCAAGCTTTAGAAGTTGCAAAACTTTAGAACCTCTCGCCCTTTTTTGCCTTTGAAACCAGGCGACCCTCACCTTCTTCAAGTGCAAATATCTCAACCTTTATGCAAGATATATTGGGGTTTTTTTTCATAGAAAGCGAGACAAATGAACAAGCTTTTAGATGAAACCAAAAACTTCACATGCCTAGAATTTTGACAAGCGCTTGATTCTACCACATCATGACACAATTTTTACTTTGAGTTTGGTTCACTATAAGAGAAGGGCATGTGTAGTTGTCTTGCTAATAGCTCTGTTTTGTGCAAACTGTGTTGTTCTCTTCGACAGGTGACAAACTGGAAGTTGTCAGTATCCATGGGTCCTGTGGTGAAGAGTTACCTCTGTACACCAGGGTCAAGGCCATGCCACTGGCTACAAACTGGCTGCTCAACATCAACGACATTCTCAAGAACACCATGTCCATCCTCATGCAGGCTTGTGTGCAGGCCAGGATGGAAGAAGGTGGGAGTCACATGGCGAGGTTCAATGCCCTAACAAAATCTGTTTGGTTAATTTGGTCAATGGAATAGTGCTGCACTTCGGAATGCAGCAGACTAGATAAGCATTGGTGACATGCAGCATACGTAAATGCAGCGAACAGTATTTCACTCTAGTTAACTGCATCGTAGGCTCAAAATAGCAAGACACAGAGTGCTTGCTCTCAGAATATAGATGGGATTTCTTTCTGTTAAGAAATAGGATCTCCAAATTTATCATCTTCCTTCGAATAAGACTGAGCCAAGTGGATCGAGATGAGATTAATGAGAACTCAAGTTCTAAAAGACACCTATCACCTATGTGTATTCGAGCCAAGGTTGGCTGCACTGTAGTCCAATATGACAGCAAGTGAGCTATAGATGCGCCTATGGAAATGAGATACTTTATGACAGAATGGCGATGGAGCCAGAAAAAAAGCCTATCTCAGACCTTTTCAGTCTTGGACAGGGGAATTCAGAGGGAGGGGTGCCAGAGGATCATCAATGTAGAGTGTCCTTACCTTTGTGCTGGAATGTATTATCGCTTATAATATGGGTTGGACCAGGCAAGATGGGTAGAAGCATCATCCCACCTCCTAAATTGTCAAATTTGTGGCAATAGGGTCGCACTACCTTTTATGACAACCTCCCTCCCCCCCCCCAATAAATATAATTAATAAATAAAATAGAATTTAAGAATATAACGAAACCCTTGAAGACTAGTCTGGATCTTGTGTGCTCTTTCAGGAACAAGACAACCTATCCTCATCCTTGAGGAGCTGGCCCGACTGGGAGGACACTCGGCATCACCGAGAGTGGAGGAGCTGAGCTCGGAGATCAAGTCTCGCTTCCGGCACTGGCTGCTCCGGTTCCCTGTCCAGTGTGTGATCACGGCCGAGGCTGTCATGTGGGAGAGAGGGATGACTCGTATACTGGAGAGAGAGGATAAGGATGAGCTGCGGATGCTCAGGTGGGATATCTAGTGTGATGTTATGTTTATCCGTTGTTGTGTTAAGAGAGAGAAAGAGAATAAGACAAATCTGAAGAAGATTTGAAGAAGAAGATTTGAAGACAATCTGAAGAAGAAAAAGAAGAAGAAGAAGAAGAAGAAGAAGAAGAAGAAGAAGAAGAAGAAGAAGAAGAGAAGGAGAGGAGGAGAAAAATAGAAGAAGAATTAAAAGAAAGATTTAAAAGAGAGAAAGAAAAGGAATACATTTTATCTAGCTGTTTACTTAGGTGACTCATAGTTGTTTAGGAAACACTCTTGTTTGGAAAGAAAAGTTCTGAAATCTATTGTGGGGTATTAGGAGGATTTCCAGTATTGTTAGTGAAGTTTCCTGTAGCCTTTGCTGGGCTTATCTGAAAGGGAGAATATTGTTGAAGTACCCCCAATAATGAGTAATTCCGTTTAACCTTTGCTTTGCAGCGTAAATAACCGTCACTGGAGTCACATGTATTTCATGTAACAGTGGGTGATACACTGAAAGGTCTTTTTCCTTTAATATTGTAAGGGATGTAGGTAAAATTCTAATCATTTTGTGGATTTTCTTTGTCTTTTGTACAAAGCTTACCACAGATAGGTCCAAATTTCAAATTATTGTTTATGTTTTTATTTTCTAAAGGTTTGTCCAAAATTCAAATTGTTTTGTATACTTTCTATTCCAAAATATTTGAATTTTTACAAAATTTGTAGGTCGAGCCATGGCGCCAAGTTGGACCAGCTGGTTGATGTTCTACAGGAGACCCAGACCCGTGCTCGTATCAATGACAATGACCGACAGAGGCTGAGACTCCTCATCTCTGGATTGCTCAACCAAAGCATCTATCACAGGGACATTATGGAAAGTCAGTGATTCTATGTTTCTGACAAATTACTTAAGTTTTCAAAATTTTGTTTGGTTCGTTCTTTTATACCTCAAATGAAATATTATTATCTCTTGCATCCTCTCATTTTTGAGTGTTCAGTATATGACATCTTTTAACACTGTTAAGAAAAATGCTTTCAATTATGCCCAGTTATGTGTAGTTGCTGTTGCATTTAGAAGAACAGGAAAGAGATGGAGGAAATGGAGATGGTCAGTGAAATATTAAATCTTCATGCTGTTTTGACTGCAACTCATGTTAAATCTCATTAAAGCTTTTGTTCTTGATTACTCATGTAATCAAGTTGACTTACTAGTCCCTTTTGTGTTCTTATTTTTATCATCCTTTGTTTGTGAATACATGTTATCAAGTTGCCTCTTTTTTAATCAAGTTGGTTTATTTTAATTTTTCATTTGCAGACTTGATAGAGAGCAGCCAGGTGACAGATGCTGCCTTTGACTGGCTCAAGATTTTGAAGTTCCGAATGGACATCCGAAACATTCTGAGGGCCAAAACTGTGATGACGGAGAGCTCAGCCAATGCCTCAACGGGTGGCGTTCAGAAACAAGCTCGGAGATCATCTGTGAAAGCAAAGAAAGATACCAAAGGTGCTTTTCCATAGTTAATAGTTATTATTTTTTTATTATTCTTTTTAAACAATCTTACAATCTTTACGTTTCTTCTTGTTTTGTAGTTAGTCTGTTCACATTTTGTTGTCAGTGTTAAAGCTACACTACTTCATTTTGCTTCTCATTTGTGACAATTTCATGTTTCAGCTTTCAATCAGTGAAATAAGTTCCCAGCTATACCCCCATCTCTTTTTGTCTCTTCTGAGAGACCAGAAGATCTTTGACTATCTGGCTTTTCAACTTACAAATGCTGCACATATTATATCCAGAACAACAGAGACCATTTTATAATAGCCAGATAGAGATAAGAACTTAAATTTTCTGAACTGACCCATGTTCAGAGTTCTTGTAACATGTACCATACATACCAATATGTCGATATCACTCTGACTTGCTTCCTTGTCTTTTTTTTCTTATACAGAATAAATTAGTAAGCACTTATTTTATTGGAATCTTTTTATGCAGTAGACTTCTTATTCATATTTGTTCTTCGTCGTCAGTGACTATTGAAGAGACTCCAAAGCTGTCGAGGACCTTAACCACTGTGTCAACGGACTATCAGTTCAGTGCCTGCTACATTCAGCAGCTGGGAAATGTATTCAGCTATGACTACGAGTATTTGGGCCCTAGTAGCCATCTAGTGGTCACTCCACTGACAGAGCGAGCTTTTCTGGCTGTTGGACACGCGCTGAAGACATTCCATTGTGGCACGATGATTGGGCCCAATGGCACTGGGAAAACGGAGACAGTCAGAGAGCTGGCCAAGGTACCATATTTCTTTTGATTGAGTGTAAAAGTTGTAAATCATTTCTGTCCCCATTAGCACGGGTGAGACCATTTAGCGGGCAGGCTGTTTCAACTCTGACTGTCAGGGCCAACCTGGGCTGAGTGGGATGTGGCTTCCAAGCAGACAGACAGATATACAGTATACAGGATGAAATAGACTACTCATTTGATTGGGTTGTTTTTATGTTACAGGAATGGGAAAATTAAATTTTAAAAAGAAAAGGAATTCATGACTTCCTTACACGATTTTTTAAATTGGTGCATTTTGCGTTTATGGATGTTTTTTCTTCAAGTCATTTCCATTTTTAAAAACAAGTTTCTTCTTTATGGATTTTATATCAATTAAATCTGTTCCAAATCATAATATTCTAGAACAAATTTTGCGTGAGACATTTAAGCTATTTTTTAGAGCTCCCTTAATAGTCATGTTCTTTGAACATATGTTTTTTACCTGTTTCCCAAAGGTAGTACATAATTATTGATAAAGCAGCTCTTTGAACCAGCTTCTTGTTGTCACCTGTTTACACTTTTCATCAATTGTGGTTTCTCATTCATTCCAGCTCCTGGGTCGCTGCATCTTCACCATCAGCTGCCACGAGAGCATTACCCTTCCCATGATGCTGCAGTATATGACGGGGATGGTACAGTCAGGCTGCTGGGCCCTGTTTGATGACACTGACCGGCTGACAAGAGGTAGCTCTATGACAAATGGCTTCATTTTGTGTCTAAGTGTTTCTTGTTGAGACGACCGTCAGGTTTTGTCAAGTTACAGGTTGTCTAAGAAAAAGGACCCTCTAAAAGGGCAATAACTCGGTCATCCCTGCACTAATTTCAAATAAACACCAAAGAATTAAATTCAACTAACTGAAAGTCAAGTTTGTAAATATGAAGAAAATCAGTCTTTGTTTGAGAAATATAAATTTTTAAAAATTTCAACCAAAATTGGGTAAAATGAAAAAATGTTTCTTCTTAAAAGCATTGGACTATAGGGAAGTGATCAGCCCGATCTGGTTTCAGGGCAAGGACGACAAAACCATGACAGTCTCATCATATTGGTTCTCACTGTGCTGAGAAAGCTTTGGAGAAGTTTGGGTTGGAGAATGTGTTATACTGAAGGTGGGCCACACCCCATTCCTCAGGGGTGTTCCTTTTATGCTTGCCAGAAAGGTTTTGGAAACACTTTGTAAGCCTCAAGTTAACAAATGAATGGTTACCACATTCCTTCAGACTTGGGCCCCTTAAATTATTACCTTTGTGGTTTTTTGATAGACAGAGTCTACGGAGACAGCCCACAAGCAATTGAGCAATTGAAACTCAATGTTGAACAAGGTGTCTGAAGAATTGACACAGAAACATGCCACAATGTTATTCAAAATTTCCAGTGGCATGTAGAAGCTTGTATGGAGAGAGCTAGTTACCACCTGGAGATTTAAATAGCTGTCAACTTCCTGAATTTATTTGGCAATATGAATTTTGTAAATTTTGTTCTTCAATGCACAAATAGTGACTATTGGAAATATAACAATGTGGTTGATTTGAAGTTGCGAAATTCTGCATTTCACTTAATTTTGCTTGAAATTAAAAAAAAAAATTTTTTTTTCAAATGTCAGTCGATTTTTTTCATATTGACAAATGTAACGTCCCCCTAGTTGAAGTTGTTTTCTTCAAAGTTTTGTTGAAATCAGTCCAAAGATGACGGAGTTATTACTCTTCAAATTTTTTTTTAGACATCCGTTACTTGCTTTTAAGTTCTTTTTAAACATGAGATGATATGAAGTAAAACATTTTTGATCGTTCAATTTTTTTTTCAATAGGAAAGCTTAGCTTTGTAATTTTTTAATTACTAGAGACTGAATTTTATTGTCTATTTTCCTGACTGAGACAAATTTCTCTACATCAAGTAGACATCATTTTGTCCCTACCATTTCAAATTTTCAACACTTTTTCTCTTCAGGTCTCATGTCAGTGACTGCACAGCAGTTGGACTATTTGCGAACAGCTCTCAGGACTCTGGATGTAAACAGTGAGAACCAGTATCAGATCAGAGGGCACTCCCATTTTGACAAGGTATGTCCTGGAGTTACCTGTAAAAATATTAGCACAACTCTGTCTCAACAAATTGGATTGATCTATGATGTAATTATGCTTTCCTGTTATGTTTTTTGTAAAATCAAATTTTAGCAGGAGCAATGTTTTTTTTCTTTGGTCTCTGGGCCATGTTGAGCCGAAACTTTTAATCATTGAACTTCAGTGACAATGTGGAGCTGTCACAAATATAAGCAGAGCGTTGTGTTTTTCTAAAAGTAAAAACAAAAATGAAAGAATAAATGGTGGAGTGCTCAGAGTTTTTTGTCTTTTTAACATCGTTATGGGTCGTGGTTCTGTGGATGAGATTATAAGGTTTTATTTGACAGTCAGCCAAGGATAAATTTTGAAGCATACAATAATTTTTTTTTTCAAATCTTAAAAAGTTCCTCTAGTAGTGAGTAAACTATTCTAGACAATTCCACCTTTGATTTAGAACCTACAGAAGAGGGAGAATGGAGAAATTTTCTGTTAATGGTTATCTTTTAATGCTATGTAATTGAGTTCTAAGCAGAAAATAATATTGTCCCAAAAATGCAGTGACTTTCCTGTTATCATATAGAACATCATGAAATGTTGCTTGAAACAAAGGCTGCTTTTTGGAAGGATGGGCTCTTAAGTGTTTCCTGGAACTTTTTAGGTAGATGTTATGTTACTCTTGGTATTCAATATTTGTAAGTGTTCAGGCTTTTATTTTTGTGAGTAACGTTTGCTGTGTTTAACGACTAACAAGACACATTTATTGAGTTCAGTCAGTATGTACATGCATGCAACATTTAATTCCCTATGTTTGCCTGTAAGATTTAGTGGTGTTTGCTTTGAGCATGTAGAGGTGAAGACAGATCTGAGCAGCCACAGAGAGCTGTGGTTTCTTGAGAAGTAATAAGTTAAGACTGAGTATTTTTTGAAAATGGCATTTCACTGGCTCTCTTTTTTGGTGTTATTGTCTGTCTAGCATTTCTCTACTGGCTTTGCTGTGACAAAAGCTAATTTTAGTCAAATAAAACAGTAATTACTAATTTGATACTAATTCATCCCTCTCTCTTCTCTTTTACTCTCTGACCATCTTTTCCTTAACTGCATGTAGGCATGATCTCGAGACTCCACTGTTTTTCAAGGATGTATCGAAACTTAAGGACTTGTCTCTGTCTGCTGTTCTGTCTCTTTCCTCCTGTAAAATTGCTGTTATTAGTCACTAATCTAATATTTGCCTCGACCATGTGTGCTGACGTTTCCAGTTAACATTCTGTGTTTAATTGCCTCTTTTCCTTATACTGACTTTAATTTCAGGTTTTTGCAATGGTGTGTGTGGTAAAATTCTACTACATTCTAATCCAGTAGATCTTGTAGCTGCGTTTCACAAATTTTTTGTTCTATGTTTGGTAGATTTTGCCTTTTTTGGCCTATGCTTTTCAATAGTCTTATTTCATCAAGTCTGAACTGTCATTTAACTTCCTGTTTTCTGCATCTCAAAATATCTTTTATTCAAATTCTTTTATTTTGTTGACACATATGTTACAACTCAGTTCAGTTGCTTGTTGCTGGTTATGAAACTGAAATTCTGTGTGGTTATATTGCTCTTTGCTCTGTGCTTTTAGTCTTTGTGCAGAGTTGAATAATTTTTAGGTTTTATGGTGGTTTGGGGGAGTATAATGCTTTGATGCTCTCCTAGAATCTAAGTGGTCTATAGTAAACTGTTGGGACATTTTATGTGCCTTGACTATGTCAATCTGTCAGAATATTTGGCACCCAAGATGAATCATTTGTCCTATTCTTGGGACCACTTTTTGGGGAAATTGAAAATTATATTTTTATATATATATATTTTTTTTTTTTGTTGTTGGGGGGGGGGGGGGGGGGGGGGTAGGTAGTTCTAACAATTGATACCACTTCTTGGATTTTCCTGGCAACTGGCTTTTCTAGACATTATTGTCTTTCTTTTCCCATTTATTTATTTCTGTCACAGCGTAGCCTTCTTGTACCATTGTATTGATTATGTACTGCAAATTCTTTTCTTTTAAGATGATGTTGAAAATGATTAGGAAAATAAAGATTTTTTTAGAGCATCTGAGCAGAGAATTTTGTAGCAAGCCATGACTGCCAATTTCTGTTTCAGATCTTGTACTTGAAGAACAAAGGTGAAATTCAAACAGTGCCAAGAGATAAAAAATACTTTTTGGTCCAGTTAATCAACCCATTGTTTGACATAAGGCATCTGGAATTTGCATAATCTATGAAGATTTTGTTCTGCTATTCTTTTGGTTAGGTGAACAAAACTCTCTGTAAGTAAGTAATGAGGACCAGGGAAAGAAGTCAAGACTGACAGGTACTGGTCACCTCTTTGGTCTGTGTTACATCCAATGTGCCAGGATCTGGACGATAAAGACGTATCTTATCTTATTTGCTGCTCTTGGCCTATGGTTTTGAGATACACATGCCAGCCAAGTAAACATGTTTCACAAAGAAAACACATACAACTGTACTGATCTGTCTGTAGAATCCTAGCTTACTTTGTAGACATGACTTTGTGTGTAGCTTTTCACTGTTACTTTTTCAACATATATATATTTTTTAAAATTATGTGTAGACTCTTTTGTTAGTCATGTGTAACCTACTTCCTCCCCCCCCCCCCCCATGTCTTGTTTGTCTCTCTTCATCATTTTTGTTGTTACTTAGTACCTGTATAAAGCATGCTAGTCTTAACCGATTCAACACATTGTATTTGCTTTTTCTTTTTGGGTTAGAATAAGAATGGGTATAGTCTAGATAGTTTTTGTTTTTTGGTGGGGGTTTTTTAAAAGTCAAGGCACAATTTCTTTGCTTTTTTCCTCTTGTTTGTATCACCGAAGGAAACAATTTTCATGTATGTAGCCGTCATCTCACCATATTCTCCACTATTATCTCTCTATTATCTTTTAATCATTTCAGCATCACCTCACTGTCATCTCACCATCATGTCACTGTTACCCCAATGTCATCTCACCCTCATTTCTCCATCATTTCACCACATTCTTACCATTATCTCATAATCATCTTGCCATCACCTCGCCATCATCTTACCATTGTCTCACTGGCATCCCAATGTCATCTCGCAATCATCTCACCATCATTTCTCTGCCGTTTCAACATCACACTATCATTATCGTACCATCTCACCTACACTTCTTTATCATCTCACCATGAACTCACCATCATGTCATCATTATCTCACCATCCCATATCATTATCTCACGACCAGCTCATATCGTCTTCTTATCATCCTCACATCATCTCACTATTATGGCTCTGTTGGCTCACCATCATCCCACCATCATCTTACTGATATCTCACCCTCTCTATCTTCTCATGATCATTGATGGCAGAAATTCTTCTTTCAACTGTATTTCTCAGTTACAGAATAACCTGGTACCCGTGCACCCATGGTATCATCCACAATTTTTCTTTTTGAAAAATAGCCTTCAGCTGAACATTGTATTTGTCAGAGAGGAGAATATGTCACTGTCAGTATAAAATATTTAGTATCAGCTCCCCTTGCCTTCAGGTTCTTGAAGTTTTGGGGAGTCTTGTGTATTATTTTTGCTCATTCTTCTTCTTCTCAAAGTCAGTTTTATAAATAAGATACAAATTCAAAAGTGAAAAGATAACTAATGTCCAACAATTTTTAAATTATGCCAATTTCCTTATGCATGAACTTCTTTTTTGCCAGACATGGTACCAAATGGTTTTGCTTATTTCTTTTTTTGTGCTATTATCATCCTTGTTTCTCATTTGGATCCTTCTTCATATTTCTAAAGTAACAATAGTAGGATCCAAATATGGTACAGGGGAACAGAAAACTTGTCTACAGAGTGTAGAAAAGCATAACTTGACAAGAGCTTCACATTATCAGGAGGTTGTTTTTTTTAAATCACGAAGCTGATACTTTAGTTTGTAGGGGCTATTGATGTAATACTTCATCCACTGTTTTATCCTGTAGCTCATTGTTCTTTTCAGGGTCAAGGTCGGGCACATAAATGTAACTTTTCTACACATTTGCCCTGTAAGAGATAGATCTACCATTCTACTAGCTTTTGCCTAAATTTTCAAATGGTTATAGTCTCAGGTAATGGCAAAAAAAAAATGTTCTGATTTTTCAGGTTTGTTCTCTTGACGTTCATTTTTTTCATGTTGCTTTTTTTTTCCAGAAAGCTGGTATGGGTGACAAAGTCATCAGACGTAACTCTTTGACGACCCTACACCCGTTGCCCCGAGTTGAGGTTCAGCCTTCACCTCTGATGGAGCGGCAGAGGACTGTGCCTCATGGATTCAATGTAGAGAGCTCACTACCTTATGACATTTTATGAAGATATATGATAATAGACTATTCATTTGTAATTTATTACTAAACATTTGGTTCTTTTTCCATTTTATGAGGATAATTTATCCAATAAGGTCTGTAAAGTTATAATAGAATAGGAATTGTTAATTGTAATTGATCATTATTCTTTAAATTTTTTTTCCAGGTGAAAGGTAGCTGTATTGTGTATTATTTACTCATGTCATAGTTATTAGTATTTATTAGAAGGCATATAGAATATTTTACTGGAAAACAGATTGGGTGTATTTGAATCTGTAGATATTGCCACAATTCGTTCTTGAGCATTTGATTGTTCTGGATTATTTTTTGTTTTTGCATTCTTTTGGGTCATCAATCTCAAAGTATCACTTTTGTATCGGAGTGTCATAATCTACTTTTCATTTTACTGAAATCCTTATTACTGGTACTAAATAACTATTTTGTTCTCATCTTGCAGGAGAAGGGTCTTGTGACTTACTTTGAAGACACATGGGTGGCTGAAAGAGATCAGAGACGTCATTCCATCGAGAGAGAGATTGAGATCAAAGAGTCAGACTTGTACAAGAGTAACAAGCCGCCTCCTTTGTTCTATGGCAAGTTCTTGTTCATTAAACAATCAAAATGATGATTAGCATGGATGGTTAGCACTTAAGTGTTTTTTTTTCGACTTTGTGAAGTTTCAGTGCACTTTCCAGCAGAGATATTATGAGCAGGAACCCTAGTTCATCAATAGCAGCCAAAGAGAAGGGCACCAAGTGACTCCATCAAGCTTTTAACTTGCGGCAGAAGTACTTGTTTATCCTTTTTCTACTCTCAGGTTTTGTCCAAAGAGTTACCCGTTTTGTATGTCAGATTGTATTGAGTTTGAGTGCAAATACTCCTTCTTGCATATGCAGGCTCTTTTCTTTGACAACACTGCGACAGTCTGTCCGTCTCCTCAAAAACTTTTATATTTTTCTCCCCAGTCCCTGAATGAGAGTAGATGTACGTGATTGTAATGAAATATGAGCGAATGAGAGAAAACTTGAGTCACCATTTTTTTCTTCTCCAGAACATGTAAAGGCCGGCAGGAAACGGTCACCTCCAGACTTCTCCAAACTGACCGCTGAACCATCATACTCGCACAGAATGCTGGGTAATGTCATGTTCAACGGGAAACTTATCCAGGCCAGCTCCAACTTTGGGTGTTTCATGACCTTGAACGCTAACAATCCTGCATCATCTGACATACCTTACAATTTCCGCGTAAGCTCTTTTATGCTCATATTTTTCCCTTGACCTGATATCTTTGACTCAATGATTTGGGCAGTGGTGTACAGTAGTTTCCCAGTTATACTGTGGCTGTTTGCTCTTTTGGGAAAATAGTGGATTAATGTTTTTCAAGTATGCTATAAGAGCCATGTCAATAAATCTTTAAGTTTACATGAGCCACTCTCAAATGATGAGAACAGTTAAAACTTCTCTATACAGCACAAATGGTGTTTTGTAGAAGTCTATTTTTGGTTAAGATAATACTTTTGTTTCTTTTTTTTTCCACAGGTGCTCATGCGACCCTGTGCTCTGATTGTTCCTGACTCGGAGAAGATCATCTCTGTGACTCTGCAGAGCTATGGCTACCACAAACATGCACTCTGGGCACAGAAACTGACTCTGTTCTTTAAGTTCTTGGAAACACAGGTTTGTCTTGATGAAGGCTGTATTGTCTTGTTTACATTGACAGGTTGTGACGTATAGATTAGTATAATGTGTTTTAAGTTTTTTAATGTTTCTTACTTTTTATACCAACATTTGTTTTTGCTGCATATATCAAAAACGTATATCTTTTTGGTCTAGCTTCACTTTGCCTCTGTCAAGTTTATTTTCTTTTTTTCCTTTGCCTGTTCCTTTTTTGTAGTCAAATAGGTTTTCATTTTTTTTATTCTGTATACTTTGTGTTGTGTAACTCATTTATCAATTATAACTTAAAACCTTTTGTTTTGTTGACTGTTTTATTAGTCATGATATAATATTATTAGGTATAGTTGATGACACATTTTGTTTTGCTTACTTTTCTGTTGAAAGTATGAAATATGTATGTGCTTCAGGTATTTGAAATGTTGAAAGGCCTGCAGGATATTAACTCTTTATCTCCGGGGGTTCTAAATCTAAAAATGACAAACACATCACTAAATGGGTCATTAGATCGAAAAAGTGCAGCTATTTTGATACTTCTTTATGTAATGAAAGAATTCCCAATAAAAGAGACCTGTTGCCGAAAAGTAATTTGATGTCGGAGTTGTCATAAAGGAATGTGCCTGAGCTGCTCCAGCGGCTCACCCGCACAGCGGTTCCGACCAGTGAGTGGCTTGCCGGAGATAAAGAGTTAAGTCAAAGTGTGTTTCTCATTGTGAACAAACTCAGTGTGTGTTCTGTTAGTGTAGCAACATGTCACTGCTTCTGTTTCCCAGATGCCCCGCCAGAAACAGCACCAGGCTTCCTTGCGTGAGATCAAGAGAGTTCTAATGCTGGCTGTCGCCAAGAAGGTGGACACAAACTTCCTGCATGAGATCAGCGGTGATGCTCCGGGAGTGTCTGGTAAGCTGGTTGAGTTTTTTTGTGCAGCTCTCAATCTTTTTCTTCTGAAACTGTTCATTTTGTATTTAAAAAATATAGAAAGAAAAAAGAAACGAACTTATGTGTGTTGTAAAAGAATGTCACAATCTAGATTAACACTTTGCGGTCACTTGGCGCAATAATGCATGGGGGAAAAGTATCTGTTCCGTGCACCTGGTGCATGGCGCATTTGCCAGGCTCAAGAAGTCGGTTGTAGTCGCTCTCCTGCCTGGGTGACCAGATGGGGTATTTTGTACTGCTGGCTGTGTGACTGCAAAGTGTTAATCAATAAAAAAAATTTCGGGGTGTAAATTCAACTTTTGGCTACAAACTGCCTTGATTTGCATAACAGTAGGCACCAGAAACTAAATTTTCTAAGTAGCTTTATGACAGATGTATTTTTTCCGTATGAAAGACCTATGTCTCCTGAGAATTTTGGTACCTTTCGTATACCTCTCAGTCCCTTTTTAAGAAAAATAGTATATGTAATGGTGGAATTGGGCGCTCAACAGTTTTTGGGCATGTAGAGTTATTGGTATCATCTTAAAGCTAGTTCAGTTGTCTTGCTATCAGTGAAAAAAAATGCCCTTCTATCTTGAATAGAAGTCAAGATATTTGATGTTGAAGAAAGTGAGGTCGCCTGGTTTCAAAGGTAGAATTAGTGAGAAAATGGCCACCAAAGTTGTTTTTTTTCCATAGCTTGAGAGTCCATGGAAACTGAAAACTTTCATTTTTGTGTGCTTTTAATCAACTTTTTTTCAGTAAAACCACCCAGAAATGTGTTCTTAATTGGACAACAGTGGTGTTAAGCCAAAAAACAAAAATTCGATGCCTGTTTCTTCTAATTCATTATTTTGACGAGCGCCTGATTTCACCACTCTCCCTCACATATTTTTATTCCACAATATTGTTGTGATTTGGAAAGAATCGAAAGACACTATGTCATAATTAACTTTAAAAATTTGGTTCATTTTATTTTCTTATGTAAGTTCTACCAGCTGGACACTCTTATAATTTATTGTATAATGCACAACTTATTGATCATTCTGGCTAGAAATTGTCAATGTTTGAATAGTTTTCCTGTAGATTTGACATTACTATTAAAATCAGTCACAATTTACTGACCATTTCTTACCCACATGCCACTAATTTTTATGGATATTTCTGCAAGAAATGGTCATAATTGAATGTGTTGGTCTATTGATCTGATATTATTATTGCGAATGATTACTTACCTTTTCTTATTAAGACAGCACTCTTTCTTACTGCTCACCACTAACTGTCATGTTTTTTCCTTAGTTTCCCTGTACATTTTCTTCTGACTATCAGAAGTAATCATAGCTGACTGACTGTTCCTTCCTCAGATGGCACCGAATGGAAGCCCAGCAGTGCCGAGTCTACCCCAGAAGTGGCGGAGGAGCACAGTCTGGTGTTTGCTCTCAAGGAGATCCTGAGCCCACGCTACGAGAGTGAGGCTGAGACCAACAAGTTCCTGGACCTTCTGCGAGAGGTTTTCCCGCGTGCAATCAGCGAGCAGTCCAACAGCTCTTACTCTGCTCTCAACCAGCAAGTGTCGACGGCCATATCGGAGGTCTTCAAAGAGGACAAGATGGAAGCTAATGACATCTTGTTTGACAAGGTTATACTAGGGATTAGGCTAATTGTGCATGAACATCCTTGCCTCATTGTATGTGCAGTTCTCTTAAATATCATGCTTTTTCTCCAAAATCAGGTGTGCGGACAGCATTGACCTTAAAAGAATATAGAGAAATTAAATTATGTGAGGTGCAAAGCAAGCAAACAAGCCCTGGCTTGAGTATTGGCAGAAATATCTCTTTTTGGGTTGGTGAGATGTGGTCATTTCAGTAAAGCGTCTAGTTGAGGTTTCCATCCAGAACTAACTTGACCTACCACCCACATTGGCTGTCTTTTCACACTTTGCGGGTACTTGGTGCAATTATGCGCAGGTGAAAATTATCCGTTTTGGTCACCTGGCACTGTTCTGCAGCAGGCCCGAGAAATCCGTTGCAGTTGCTCTCCTGGCTGAGTGACCAGGTATTTTGTACTGCTGGCTGTGTGACTGCAAAGTGTGAATGTTTCTCAAGAAGGAAGACTCCGGTTAGACCTTTCATCTTTGTTTCTTGATTTGAAAGTGTTATTGTGTCCTTACCCCCCTTTGTTATGTGAGGGTCTCTACTCCATTTTGTAAAGTAAGATGTGTCTTTTCCCCTCTCCATAACATGTTTTATTAAAATAACATAATGTATTCCTGCTTTGAACAGATCCTGCAACTCCACAAAGCAGTGGACACAAAGACACCAGTCATCTTGACTGGTCAAACAGGCAGTGGAAAGACCAAAGCCTACCACACCCTGGCCCGTGCCATCAACTTGCTGAATTACAAACAGTATGCCCCTGACCACTCCAAAGATGAGCTGAGCACAGAGAGGGATGTCCTGTTCCAGACAAAACAGAAGCTGAAGGTGAAATGGGGCTTTTTGTTTTGATTTGATATTTATCTGCTGTGAATCACTGTTGCTGTTTGTGTATTTTTGGCATTTACTCGAACAAATTAATTTTTTCAGATTACCCAATGCTGTCTATGATACAAGATAATTGTGTTGTGTGTGTATAGACAGAATCTCTGTTCTGAGGTGTCTGCCTGCTGCACTCACTTGTTTGGCTTGGATTTTTTTTCCTGCTATGCTTTACAGTTAGCCTGAGCCTGTCAGCATGGCTGAGCTTGTCCTTTGATGCCCCACTCCTTGCTACAACAGGCCTCCCTTGTCCCCAGTCTCTGCTTTGATGTATTATTCATCGTAAGATTTTACGTTTTCAAATGTATGATATAGGAAGTTTTTTCACTTATTTCTCTTTGATTCTATTTTGCTCTGCAGACAGTTGTTATCTGGTCCATTTTTGTGTTTCTGTTTGTGTGACCAAGGTGTTTGAGTTTCCTGTTGCTGATCTTAGAAAGCATACTACCTGTGTATCAAGTTCTTTCAGGACACTTTTATTTTTTCATTTTATCTGTCCATTTGACCCAAAGCAGTCTTTTTTCAAACCACACCTTTACAGCTAACAGGGAACAAAATCTTCTTGTGAAAATATGTTCTTATAATATTTCTGGTATTATTATTTGGTACACCTTACTCAATATAAATGGGATTAAAAATGTACTCTGGTGCCTAGAAGTGTGTGGAACAAGACTCAAGTTGTTTCTCTGTTGCATTTTTTGCAGCTAAACTTTGTGCGAAAAAAAGAAAAGAAGAAAGATGATTGTGTTTTGTGTCTTTGTCTATGGTTTGGGGTTAAAAGGTTTTTACCCTTCTGAACTTACCTCACTGCAGTTTGCATTGGTTGTTGATTTGCAAAGCACCATCTTAATCTCCATAATCGGTAATACTGCAACAAGTTATTGTGGTTGGAAGCACTTGTTTGTTATGATTATGTGTGCACTTGTCATAAGAAGATAAGGAATTGACTGAATGCCTTAGATTTTTATGATGAAAGATACAAGCGAGGGGATGGGGGTTTCTTTTGCTTTACGTTTCGGTCATATTAACTAATAACTGAATAAACCATACTCACAGATGAGACAATGGCAAATTCTTAAGAGGTATTGATGTTGTAATTTCCAAGCTGCTCGTAAAAACTCAGTGTCATTGCTTTATTTGTGTGTGTGGTTACCTCAAAGCTTGAGGGGCGCATACTATAAACAAAACCCAACTTAATTGATATTCTGCCTGAGCTTCAAATATAATTAGTATAGAGAATATTTTTCTACATTAAGGCATGAAGCTGTGAAGTACAGTGGGTGTTACTAGCAGAAAGAGTGAGTTAATCTTGTGAAGGAAGAGCTGATCACAAACCACTTACCCCCCCCCCCCCCCCCCCCCCCCCCCCATCTCAACTTGCATTTAAGTTTGATATGCTTTTGTTTGCTAAGCAGAATCCAAAGTGTCTGAGTAGGATATTTTTGAAAACATTGAAAGAAAATGGAAATGTATCAAACTGAACAATTGTAAAAGTATCTATAGAGTGACGTTTACTAAAGTCTTTTACTAAATGACTTTACAGTGAAAAAAATGTCTTGCCGCCTTTTGTTTTAGGAGTTAGATGAGGAGAACGCAGACGTAAGTAAAATGCTACCCTGCACTTTCTATCCCCGAGCTGATAATCAGCTTGTCGTGCCTACCAATGTATATATAGGCTTACATATATTTGTTTGTATACAATGCATTCGCTTTTATTTGTTCATTGTGCAGGTTCTAGATGCTATCAGTACTATTAGGTACATGCAACACACGACACATGTATGGTAGCTTTGCAGTGCCATAAGTCATATTAGAGTTAATGGTTTGTTTTTGACACTATTCAGTTGCTTTTTATTTTTATATAGATTTTTTTTCTAGAATGATTGTCCATTTGATTCTTTCTTTTATTTCTTTGACTGACTGCTTCATCTTAAAAAAAAACTTTTAAATTATGTTTAATACAATTTTAAAATCTTTTTTACTTTAGTCGTTCTCAGCCAGTTTCTTTGACAGATTCTGTCACAAAGATATGTGAGGCATTGTGATGAATACAGGTGCTCATCAATATAATTATGGAATCAAAGATATCAGCATTTTTCTTCTGGTTTTGCAGTCTTCATCAAACTTTTGTATTTTGGCTCGATACCTTTTATGTCATATAAAATCTCACTTCTGTGTGGATTTTAGTGAACAATATTCATTGATTAAAGGAACAAAATACTTAATTTTTAGTTTTCAAGGACTCTCAAGCTATGGAATTCACCAGTCTTTGGTGGCTATTTTCCCGCAAAGTTCACCTCGCAAACCAGGTGACCCCCACCTCCTTCAACTGCAAATATATCGACTTCTATTCAAGATAGATGGATTTTAAAAAAATTTATCGAAAGATTATGCCAAGAACTCCAAATACCCCAAAACTGATGCTTGTCGCCTGATTCCACTGCGTCTTGACTGATAATTACATTATCAGGATAGTGTTTGGTTCAGGACGAAAACTTTGTCTTGATTCTATGACACCTTCTGTGCTACAAAACTTACGCACTTTAGAATGCTGAACTGAGATTTTTTTTCCTCTTTTATGTGGCACTTTTACTAAAACAAAAAGATTCTTTGCACAATTGATTTTCCTATTTAAGTCGTCTTTCAGTCATTTCATGTGACTTTGGTCTTTGGTTTATAACTAAGATGACCCTCTAGATATAAGATATTTTGATATATGTTTGGACACAAGCACTACCTCTAGAAAGTGTCTGCTCTCTGCTTGACCGACAAGTGTTTGCTGTTTCCTTTTGATCTGACTATACAAATGAAGACCTAATATGTTGCTCATGGTTGTTTATCTTAATATTAGAACCTACTTGTATCACATTGCATAGTTTATGCACTGTAGTCTAAAGGTAGTTCCACACTCACACACACCAGATATCTGTTACTTCATTTTAGTATTGGCTAGGAATACATGTTAGTCAATAGAATGCTTGTATCAAAATAAATTATGCACACCTGTTAACCTCTATATCACAATCTCATCACGTTTAGTTGAAGGAGTATCATTTATTGATCCCATGGATTCCTTTGAGAGCCTGGCGAAAGGTTTACTTAGAGCTCAGAAGTGTAGGAATGCTCTCATTTCAGTTAGATGGTCTCCATTCTCTTTCCTTATCTTAGTGTGTTCGTTTTTGTCATACAATGATTTTTAAAATTTTCCTTTGCACTTGAAAAATGTGGGTTTATTTATCATATGGGTAAAATTTAATTGCGTATTATTTGAAATAACATTTTACCTACATAAATCTGTGTAACGGATTGTGTGTGGATTTGCTTGTGATTCTGTGTTGCCCTGTATGAAATTCCATCTCATCACCACTCGGAACAAGTCAATTTTGAGTTAATTTATTTTGACCTTTTTTTTTCTTTTTTTTTAAACATGCAATATTGTCTTAACATTACCTAATTTGCTGAAGTTGTGTGCCCCATCTCATGTTCTCCTCCACCCCAGACACACGTGCACACAAACATGCATTTGGGATCACACACATGCTACAAACAAACAACCACACTCACACACACACACACCACACACACACACACACACACACACACACACACACACACACACACACACACACACATGTCTCGCATGTGTGCGCACACTCATACACACAGACTCACACTCACACTCACACAGACACATATATGCACACACACTCAAACACACACACACAGGCATAAATGCACACACACATGCACACGCACACACACATACACACACACACACACACACTTATGTACTCACACTCACACTCATACTCGAAGAAACGATTAACACTGTTAACGCTGACACGTTCATCTTTCTGTCTGTTTTCCAGTCTTTAAAACCTTTGAGTAATGACAAATTATATCACTGTTGTGTACCATCTCCATGTGACACCATCCCCCTTCCTCATGAGACTGATCATATACACATACATTCACGCACCAAAACTTCCGCACTGCCCTCAATTCTACACGAATACCGCCCCCCACACGCTCTTGCGCACTTTCTTTTTCTCAGTGCTGTGATCTTGTAAGTACTAAGGACAGCTTTTATTAGTTTGTGTGACCACTACCTCCTCTTGAAACACTAAACAATTAAACAAGCAAATTTGTTTTTTAAAAACCGAACGAGTACTGTGTCAGTGTCCTGTTCTAGTTTTAGAGATACTGGGGGGACTGAAAGCAGCAGATGGGTATTGATGTAAACCCGTCATAACAAATAATATTTATTTATTGTAGCTGTCATCATTGTCATAGAGAGAAAATGCTTTTTTGCTGGGCATTTTTTAAGTGCATTTATGTTTTCAATGAGAAAAGAGTAGAGGATTGATGGATGGTTGATTAGTCTGTTGCTTGATTAGTTTACATGCTTTTATTACTTTAGCAAGGTTTTAACTTAACCATTTTTGTGGGTTATCTGTTTCACAACATTCATCTTAAAGCTCAGTAGTCATAAAATGGCTAGATCTACTCTCTCTCCAAGAGTCATGGAAAGTGACTTCAAAAGTGGTTGGCTCATTTTTAAATTATTAATTATTGTATCTCTTGTAACCAAAAGTGTAACCTTTGTAACTGGTTCTTTTGATGTTGCCACAGAATATCTTGGTTTTGGGTCTGTTGGTTTTGTCCTGCATCTCGTCAAGTCGTTCATGAAAATTTGGTACATAGTGTATATGATTAAACATTTCTATTCATGCACCTAGCATTGTGTAGCATGCCGGCATGGTAAACAAATACTGAAACTTAAATGTGTGTGGCTTTCTCTGCTGTGCTTTTTGTGGATAATTTTCGGTTGTTTTTGTTTTTGTTTTTTGCAACAGAAGTGATGCTGATATGATATTTACAGAAAAGCATTTTAGTCTTTTAACTTTCGGAAGTCATCAGATTGTAAGACCTTGCCCTTGCTCTCCTTTTTCTTTCATAATTTTCTTGGTTTCAATGTTTTTGCAGTTTTTGCTTGACTTGTTTGAGCACTTTTGGTTTGCTTGTTGTTTTGGTGGCTATAACAGCTCCTTGCTTGCTTCCCAACAGCTCTTGAAAGATATGGATGAAGATCTGAAGCCCAAACAGTCCACAGGGATCAAGAAACTGCAGAAGCTCAAGCTGAACATCTCCATGGCCAAGGTGATTCACCCGGTCAACTCTCTTAGCATGTCAGCCCAGCTAGTTTTAAAAATCGTTAAATGTATCGTTTTGACATTGAACAGCTTGGTCACATCTTAAATGACCATTTATGCAGGCCGGAGAGAGAGACCACATTCTTCCATCATATTAGTTAGGATGCACGTCTCTCTTGTGGAAGTAATAGAATGAGGAAAATCTATCCAGAGATGCAGTCAGAGATATATCAAAATCATTAGATTTTATTATCTTTCACTTTGAAGAGTGTAATCACTGTGAAAGTGACCTCCTTATAGCCGGTCATAAGTTTCCTTTCTTCTCGTCAATACTCTCTCCTTAAAAGCACAAAACTGTTCAAGAGCATGCTTTATTAGTTTTAAGGCCATTGCATTTACCTATTGGGACGTAATACGAAATTTAATTTTGGAAGTTTTCCCAAGCAAGATTGTGTACAATTTGACCTCAGAGACCTGCTTTTTGCTATCTAATGCTTCAGTGTTGTGTGCCCCAAGTAGTTTTTATTGTTCTAATTCTTCCGTTGCTGTGGCGTCTCTCTGAGAAGAGATGCAACTCCCCCAACTCCTTCCCCACTGGCGGAAGTGCCTCTTCTATGTGACTGCCTCTCTAACATAGACTAGCATCCTTTCTTGCTGCCTATTGGGTGGTCTATCCAGCTGTCTTTCCTGCTAATCTGACAGCTGAGGGTTTAGCAAAAAAAGAGACCCTTGCTCAACTTTGTCACAAGACACACCTTTAAAATGTCATTTCTGTGTGTAGAACGATGTACAAGTCACACAAGATGTTTCCTTATACTTTCCCATAAAGCATATTCCTCTACAATGTGTTCGCAATTTGCAAAAATGGTATTTATCTTTGAGATAAAGTTTTTATCCAGGATAGATGTGGGTGGTTGGCAGGTGCTCTGGTGTGGTTTGCTGCTTCTTCTTTCCTATCAAACATATATCGTCCTTATCTCCCCTTCTTCTTTTTTATATTTGTTACTCTCTTGTAACATCTCTAATCTTTTGGCGCTCATATGACCTTATGCAGTTGCGAGCGCAGTAAAACCTCTACTAAAACAGGATAGATTTTTAAGTTTGCCTTTTCAATGTGAGTGAATTTTTTTTTTTAATCCTCATTTCTCAATGTTGACTACCGTCTTGAGTTTTCTTACTTTTTTTTTTCTTTGAAGGGAGGGGAGGGGGAGGGGGGGAGGTTGTTCGTGCTCTGGTACTCTGGTGTTGTATTTTTTCTTCTTCTTCTTTTCAGTTTTATGACTATTCATATTCATCCTCAAGAATTGTGGCCTTTGTCAAGCTGACTTGTCAGAAACTACAGCTCCTCAATGTCTCAGAGTGCCTATAAAGAATTCATTGTCTCCTTGAAAACTCAAGGTCGAGAGAATATAGCTAGTGCCTGCACATCCCTGTGATGTTTGTGTTTTCCTTTGTCAGGCTGTCAAAACCACTGGGGAAGGGGCTCGTAAAGTTCAACAAGACTCATCTGAGTTTCCCAAGATTGATCTTGTTCATCTGTTCCCTGGGGCAATGACTCCCCTTGAGGTATGTTTACAACAAGTGACTTGTGTTTGTGAAGAAGTATGTGTATGTATGGAAATATGTCTTGTGCATGTACCAAAATGAGCTATGTGTGAACAGAAATTACTTCCATGTGCGAACATTTTGTCTGTGTTTTGGCTGAAGTAAAATGTGTGTGTGTGTGTATGTGTGTGTGTATGTGTGTGTGTGTGTGTGTGTGTGTGTGTGTGTGTATTGTTGTTTTGTTTTTTTGTGTGTAGGTGTGTGTGCATGTGTGCGTGTGTGCGTTCATGTGTGCGTGCGTGTGTGTTAAGGTATGGAACAGATAATTTGTTCTGTTTTTTTATTATTTTGGAATGTTGATTGAGCTTGGTGACACTTTGGTGTTTCAGACTGTCGAGGGTTTACATTGTTCTTAATTTCCTGTACTAAATTTTGAAGTCTTTTCTATTGCGAGGTCCCTCCACTTTTATATTGGCTGTAGGTTTACTTTGTTTATTTCATAGTTATCATTTTCTTGTTTCATTTTTGTTTCTTGTATGGACATTTCTTTATTCTGTTTATCAGAATTGCACCTCCATATGTTCATGATTTTCAGATCGACTTTAACCTGTAGCTAGATTCATCAAAGTTAAAAAAAACATCTTTGGTTTTTGTATTATTATTATTTAAATAAGATTAAGATCAATTCTCAGACTGAGAGATACATAATTCTATCTTTATCAGCTCCTGGGTACCTTCAAAGATGGTATGTGGCATGGAGGTCTGTTGGGCAAAATTGCCCGTGACTCTTACTTCATGTGGTTGGCCACAAAGTCCTTTATTGAGAACCAAAAGAATGCAGACAAGAAGAATGTGAAAGGACCAGTGGAGCTACCGTCAATCCTGCAGCGCTGGCTGGTTCTGGATGGTGACCTTGACCCTGTCTGGACAGAGGGTGTCAAGACCATGCTGGATGATGAGCAACGTCTGTCTGTTGGAAATGGCGAAGGGATCTTACTCAAAGGTGAAATTGGTTTTGTTAATTTGGGGGATTTTTTTATCTTAAAGTTGTATTTCTGAACTCATGTAAAGTCCGCTTTCTTCTGTTGAATTGTTTAAAAAATGTTCTCATGTGTAGAAGTCATGCTTTTATGAGTCATAGAAATATTTAAAATCCTCTTTCTTTGCATCATGAAAAAGTTAACTCAATGATCTATGACACTGAAGAGGGGTCATATGCTGCTGAGGAAGCAGTAATTATTTTAGAGTTATTCCCAGCCACTAAAAACAGTTTTCATTCTGGATGAGAGAGGTAGACAGAGAGAGGTAGAGAGAGAGAGAGGTAAGGAGAGAGGTAGGGAGAGAGAGAGAGGGAGAGAGAGAGAGAGAGAGAGAGAGAGAGAGAGAGAGAGTATTTTTATCAGATTTATATCTCTTTTCTTAATCATGATTCAGATTCCACCAACGTTATCTTTGAGACAAGTGACCTCAAATCTGCTGCCCCGTCCACCATTGCCCGTGCGACTGTCGTGTTTTGTGGACCAGGCACCACCAACTGGACCTCACTTTATCACACCTGGAAGCTGACAGCTCCATCAAAATGGCTGCTCACTTCAGTTGGGTAAGTCTTCCGTCAGTTGTGTGTATTTTGCCTTTTTAGAATTGTTATGTTGTTCAAACAAAACTTTTAAAGGTTCATACATCAGAGTCACCAATTTTATGTTTTGATGTTGTTTTTTGTTTTTGTTTTATTTGATTACTGAAAATTTTATAACGGCTTGTCTGAATTTCAAAGAAGTCTACCGGTAAAAAATGTTGTTCTTTTTTTATTATTCTTTTGTGTATTTGTTTCCATTATTTGTTAATTTCCGCAAAATGTTTATTCTCTGTTAAATTGTCTGACTTTCTCTGATACACAAAAGAATATGTCCAAAGACCGAACGTATAAATAACTTAATTATAAAGTTCACCTTAGCACCTTCGCCCCCTCCCCTTTCCAGTTTTGGCAAAATAAGTACTGCATCAGGGCAGATTTAGTTATGTCTTTTATTTATTAATTTTTTAAAACTGTTCTTCTATGTTCATTTTATGTCCAGCCTGAAGATTCTGGATGACCTCATCAATGATGTTCTGCCCTCCACTGTCAAGTTTTTGTCCTCGGAATGCCAGACAGCGCTTCTCACTGACGTCGGCTCTTCATCGGCCTCTGCAAACCAGGTCACTCCAGGTGTTTCTGAAATCTCGGCCTTCTTGAGGATTTTCTCTGCCATGCTCGATCGCTCACTGAACAGAGAAGAGATGGAGAAGAAAATGAGATGGGAAGAAGAAGGTAAGTTTCATTTTTTATTTCTTTTTCAATACCCTGTGAACTCTGCTTCTCTAAGTCTATGGGCACCTGCACCTGAACTCCTGTGTGTCAACTATTATGTATTTGGATATTTGGAAGGGTGAAGATTGTAATACTCATGGATGTGCTCTGTTCCATTAGATTAAGATTTGTTCACGACGTGTTACAGATTGTTTTAATTAAAAATAAACACCACCAATAACTTTGTGTTTGGTCCAGGCAGCTGCCTCAGAGCACATGCTTCCTTCATTTCGTCTGGATGGATGGACTGAGTTGTGTATGCATTCAAAGCATCAAATATTTATATAGCCTACTTTGAGTGATTTATTTGCATGTACCTTTGAAGACCCATGCAACATATGATATCCACAGACCCTTTAGGCAAATTTAGCTGTCTTTCACATTCACATATTCCTATTTAAAGCGGTGGAGTTTTACCATAATGTAGTCTTATTTTCTAACTTCTATCTCTCTTTTTCTTTGGTTCCTAGGATTTGACAGGACAGCTGTGTACACTTCTGCGTGCATTAGGTTGTTAAGAATGATCAGCATGACACTTGAATTGCATCATGTTTTTTAAAGATCGTGTCATTCTTGGTCATTTCTGTGTAACTTTCTTAGCCCTGATTACAGGTCAGTGGTCATCATGGTATAACAGAAAAGCATTTTAATCATGTTCCTCAGCAGCCTCCATGATTGATCCACCAGAATCCAAGAAAGGAGACCGACAAGTGCCCCCATCTAGACAGATGGGCAGCCGGCTGACCAACGCTTCACAGATTGAGTCGGTCATCCCAAACTATAGGGAGAACCTGAAAGGGATGTTTGCTTTCTCTTACATTTGGGCTTTTGGAGGTCATTTACATGACAGGTACAGTGTGACCTCTTTGTATCATAAGATGTGTGGGACTTTTTTATACTTTGATGATAATACGTGTGTCTATTAGAGTTAGGAGAATCGGTGCAGGTAATGTTGTACGTACAAAGCAAGATTTATTTGCTTACTTTGATTTCTTCATCCTCAAAACAGTAGGCATATAAAATGAATGAAGGTGTGGGGATGGGGGGCGGGGTGTGAAAGTAGAAGTGGAGTAAAACACGATTATGTTCATATACCATCTACAAAAGTTTCCTTCTGTCTGTCTCTTGCTCCAGGTTCCGAGAGCGGTTCAGTAAGTTTGCCCACGATGCCTTGTACCGTGCCAGTCATTCCATCCGACTGCCACTGTGGGGTCAAGTCTTTGATTACTATCTGGATGAAAGCAATGGAACCTTTGCGAAATGGAGTGACCGACAGCAGCAAGACCGCGTTAAAAATCTGGCTGGCTTCCTCGTCACGCCTGAGGTATTTGGTTAAATCAGCATATTTTCAGGGATATTTTTGTTCTTTTTGTATGCCCTTGCATTTGTAAAATATCCATGGTGATAATTATTTAGTGGTGTAGTGGTGTGTATATGTATTTGTGTGTGTGTGTGTGTGTGTGTGTGTGTGTGTGT